AGATAAGAAAGATAATAATGATGATTACTCTGCGTGAGTTTAATATTACTAATATGCTAATAAATGTTAAACATAGTCATTTATTACTTATTGTACAGTCTGCTCCTATGTGTTTTTGACTAATGGTGAAATGCCTAGAATCATTTAATCAAGAGGGTTTCTTGCTCACTGTCAGTATGCAAATCAACAATAATACCTTGTCATCTTTCCAGCTTCCTCTGTAGACAATCCCATTAGGAGTGGTATGAATACCTACTCCATTTCTCTCAAATATTCCAGAAGATGTTCTTGTACAGTCACCATCTAAACAAGAGAGAAATACTGAAATTTATAAGTGGGATTTCTCTTTAACTACATTCTAAAGTATTTATGTTCACAGAGACATACTATGGAGGGTGGGGCGGGGAAAGGAGGAATTGGGGTCAAAATAAGGGGGTAGCAATTATATGGGGAATATAAAGATTAAAAAAAGTATTTATGTTCAGACCGAATCACAACTGCCCCTCTGTGGGTCACTCTGGCTCCACAATACTAAAACCAATGAGACCCAAGATGAGGAGCTCAGTCTGAAGGCACTGACCCAAAGGGCCAGGAGAATTGACAGATCCCATAGGTTTCGAAGGCCTATTCTGTAGACCTAACATTAGAGTTTAGATTTAAAATGTGTTCATCTATTAATATTTCTGTTACTTTATTTAATTGAATGTGCCGGAGTCCAACTCCTGCCGAGGTAGGGTTCATGAAGGAAAGGGTGGTGTCAGCGAATAAGAAGACACAGACACTCGATCAGGTGGCAAGCATCTCCTGCTGATAGCCTCAGTGGGACTTTATTTTATACATTTTTTATTTCTTTGTTCTTTCAGTTTCTTTTACAGCATGTGCACTTGTGGTTACAATTTCCTCCGAAACATCTTACATCATTGTTTAACAAAAGTACACCATCTACTTTTACTTTTTCCTCGTTCTGGTCAACTCGACCTTATTAATTTTCCTATAATCTTAACAACTTGAAGAAGTGGGCAAGTGTGCTAGACAGAGCATGTCCTATGTGGTTATACAGGCTAAACTAGGTGAATAAAGGTTAAGCAAGCATTGTGAATAAATGGCAAACCTCAAAACTGCCTATTGTTCCTAAGATAAAAAGTTACATATCTGCTTTTAACCCAGCTCACGTACTTTATAGGCCATCTACTAACATTCTATGACAATAACTGCATTTAATTTTATCTAGATCCTATTCCACCTTGTGGCGCTGGCGCCTGGCTTCCTGACTCATGAGGCACCAAGGGGGACCTGACCTTTTTATTCTCTCCCATAAAGAAACAGAGGATGCCAACACCTTCGTACCATTAATTTTGAATCATTTGTTCATATTTTCATCATAAATTCCAGTATAGGGGAAGGGTGGGGTAGGAGTGAGAAAATCTATTTTGCTTATAGGCTTGCCTTGAGGGGGATACCAAAGGCGGCCTCCTATTTTATATGCAGGGCCAAAAGGCCCCAAAACTGTAGGAACAACATGTGGTGTTCCTTTTCTTGGATCTTGTCATTTTAGGGGCACCTTAGGGCTTTCCTCAGTGGAGACCTCCACCAGGCTTGGTTCCAATAGTTCTTCCAAGTGTAATTTGTTAAAGAATTCAGCATTGCTCATGGTAGATGATTTACAAATTGGGGGACATTGAGAAATATTGGAAATCATCTCATTACCAATTATATTGGAATGGACATCACTCAGATTATTGGAATATACAGCACTGAAATTGGCATTGATGTCATCATTCATTTTGTTATTTTGAAGTCCATACAAAATTCCCATAATTACAAGAACTGCCATAAACAAAATAAAAGGAAGTAGCAGGAGCCAGCTGTGGAGCCTCCTGATTTTCAGGAATTTCCCCCATGCTTGGACTTTGTCACACAGCATGAGTAGCCTGTCTCGTACCATGAATGAATATCTCAACAGCATTTTTATAAAATGTTACAGTCTCATTCTTTGCTCTTAAGCTATTTAATTTTAGTCTACATAGAAAAAGTAATTGAAATTTATGCTTACCATACTTGTCTCCATTTGGAAATATAAAGTTTATCTTATATACTTCTGCAGCTGTTTTAGAAGATAAAAGAGAAATCACATAAATAAATCCTTTTGCATTAGACCTATAACAAATGTGCCTTAAGAACTAACCAAATAGAGTCACTTCATATGGTCATAAGCATATCATGATTACTTGACATTTCCATTATCTAGTGTAGGGTCCTGAGGGAATAAATAATTTTGTCTAGATGATTTATTTTTATTAAAATAAGTTTATTAATATACAATTAACATAACATAAAAACTTTCTCTTAAGAAGCATAAAATTCCTTTTTTTTTTAGCATTTCAGGTCCTATAGCTATCACTATAATCTAATTTTAGAATACTTTAATGATCTCCTCCAAAGAAATCCTGCAACCTTTAGCAATTACTCTGTTTCCCTAATTTCATACACTTCCCCACCCCACTTCAGCCCCAGTCCTTGATAATAATAAACTTTGTCTCCATAGATATTTGTCTATTCCAGGAATTTCATATAAACAGAATCATATAATACATGGTCCTGTGTGACTGAGTTCTTTTACTTGGTATGTTTTCAAGGTTCATCCATGTTGTGGTGTATATCAGTACTTCATCTCTATTTTGGTGCTGAATAGTAGTCCATTGCACAGAAATAACACTTTTGTTTATTCATTCATCAGATGATCGACTGTTTTCCATTGGATTGTTAAGAATAATGCTACTGTGGACATTGATAAGTAAGATTTCATGTTGAATATGCTTTTATTTCTCTCGGGTAGTATCTGTGGTCTATTGATTGTCTTTCAGAGGCAAAGTAGATTAAGGAATCTCTCTTTTTTTTTTTTAAAGAGTTATTTATCTATTTATATAATCACTGGGTACAGTCAGAAGTGCGGGAGGGTGAGAGAATTCACCAGAGCCAGAGCGGGGAGCAGAGCAGGCAGAAGGACCGAAGTACACTGCTGAGGGGAGCAGGGGGCAGCAGGAGAGGTCTGCGCACTGTTTGGGGAGCAGCCGGGGTCGAACCGGCGCTGCAGAGGCCACGGGCAGCTTCACAACCCAGCGCTCAACCGCTGCGCCACCGGGGAGGCCCCAGATTAAGGAATCTCTTAATTTGGCAGTAGGCGAAAACAGAAAATAAAGATAGTGAGGAGGGGTTAGGTTGGGTGGCAGTGTCTCAGAATGAGATTGAAGATGGGCACCAAGTAAATAATGAAAAAAAATAACTACAGGACCAAGGGGAATCTATGCCTCAGAGCCCTGACACAGTTAGTGGATTAAAACATTAGAAACTATCTTTTTCTGATAATAATAATAAAAAAAACCATAAACAAACCTGCATCTAGAGAAACGAAATAAACTCTAACTTCTAGGACAATAGTGTCTACCAGAATGTTATTCATTCTGATGTGGCCCATCAGAATCATCTGGGACACTTACAAGCATCTAGGCTCTGCTCCACATTACTAAATGAGAATCTAAATGGGTGGGGCAAAAGGATATTTTTAATTTAAAAAATTCACTTAGGTGCCACTGGAGAAACCCTGGAGGTTCATCCCCCCTGATGGCCAGAGTTACTAACATAATAGTAGAAGGCTTTAAAATACTGTAACCTCCTGAGACAGAAAGGGAGTGTATAATACCTTTGAAATAGGAATGGGTGTTATTTCAAAACAAAAAGAAATAATTAGATGTATGCAAAATAAATAATTGGGGAAATAAAATTCCTTAGTAGGGCTGAATGGCAGAATAGATACAAGAAAAAGAAAATTACTTAACTGGAATACAGGACGGAAACTTTTCCCCAGAAAGAGGCACACTAAAAAAAAATGTATATATAACCCAACAAAGCCTTTCTTATCTCCCCTCACCCCAGATTCCTCTAGGAGATCAAGTATGAGTCTGGGCTTATTCCTACTACAGTATTTAGGGCCCTATTAAAATAATTTAGGCCAGAATTCCCTATTACACTCCTACTCCGCTAGGCCAGGGATCCCACGTTAGCCAAATCTCTCTTCTCTCCCTACTGTCCAGTTTAGTGCTTAGCGCTGAGTGGAACGGGACGTTTAGTGAAATGAATGGTACTTGGGAAGCGATCATTAAATGTTTACTAAGCGCAGCACTAAATACAATCATACAAGAACCCGAGGGGTTTTCCATGGTTCTAAATTCGAAATTTTGTCATGTTAGCGCTGGAGAGAACCTAAGACCGGCCGGCACCAAGCAGAGTAAACTAAAACCCGAAGAGACTGGCATTTGTCTAAAGTGTCAGGACAGCGAATCAACGGCCGGATGCAAGCTAGAACCCAGGTGTCCTGATTTCCAGGCCGGGGGGCTCTCTGCGTCCCCCACCCGCAGTGTAGACGCTCAGGAAATCAGTCCCGTCATCGGAGAGTCATCTGGGGCCGAGCCCTGGCTCGATGCGAATTCTACTCAGGGCGCCTTTCTCCGCCCGGGGTGTCGGGACGGGAGGCACCGACCTGCCAAACAGGGGTCCGCGACATTTTCTTGACTCTGCAATTCGCCCTGGGCCTCCAGCTCCGCGGCCGGGAGCGGGGCAGGCAGCTGAGCGCCGACAGCGACTTGGTTGCCGGGGCGACCGGGCACCTCTGACCCGGAAGCGAACGCGCGGCGGCCGCGGCCAGGCCAATCGGAAGGCGCCGGGCCTGTGCGGCGGCAGGGCCGCGGCGCGCCGGCCGCAGGTGAGGTCCGCCCAGGTGGCCGAGCCGGGCCTGACGCCTGAGCCCCGGGCGCCGCCTCCGCGCAGCCGCCCGGGGAAGCCGCGCTCGACCCGGGGTCGGCCTCCCCTTCCGCGGACGAGGGATGAGTGTCCGTGGGCGAGGTCTGCAGCCGCCCTGATTGTCAGAGAGCGCGCCGGCCTGTCGCCCCCCGCTGCCGTGGGACCCCGTCGGGCCGCCCCGGGCCGGTGAGTCGGGACCTGGAGGAGCCCAGTTCTCCGAACCCGGCCAGGCGGGGGTCGGCGGCCGAGGTTGTGCACGCCCAGGCCCGGGGCTCCGGAGCTGAATTCAAGCTCAGGGCCGGGTAAAAGGTGGAAGTGGAGGGACTCAGGCTTCGTTTCCTGCCGCTGTCTCCATCTTGAACTGAGTGGGTATTTGGGGAGAGGATGGAACGATGCGTGTTGAGGCCAAGGTAGCAGGGTTGGGTATCTGCATGGAGCTGGACGTACAGTCAGATTTGCCCCGGGGGGGAATGGTGTCCGGTCAGTTTTCAGTGTCGTGCCTGATGATTCTGTACCTGGGAACCAATTTTGGATGCGAAACAAAGGATACTTTTTTTCAAACCAAACTCGGGTCTCTGTGGCCACGAGGATAAAAGGTGGTTGGAATCTTTGCAGGCCAGATGGACTAGAACAGTGTAATCTATCCATGTGGATTACATAACCCAATTCCTTTTCCCTGAAAAATGCCTGGGGAGGGTCGTGTTGGATACAACCAACAAGACTTCGTTAAAAATTTTGAGGGCAGATCTGTAATCAACTAGTAAAGGTGACATTTTCTGGGTTGGTGTGAGAAAAGTTGTTGATTGCTCTTGGGCAAAGTCGTTGTGGATTTGCTCTGGTTGATCAGTCACGCTTATTTGATAGGAGCACTATATCTTCTTGCTTTTTTCTGAATATTTCTTACTACAAAAACATACCTAGGCTGGGCAGTTTTTGATCTTCCTGTTGTGTTTTTTGTTTATTTTCTTTTAATGCTTTCCCTTTTTAAAAATTTTAGAAATAATAGGTAATTTTCTATGCACAATCTTGCCAGAATTCAGTTTTTCTATGTTTCAGTCTTTTCATAGTTGCTTAATGACCTTATGTTTTTGTGGGTCTGTGTATATGAATGTGTGTGTGTATATATATATATATATATATATATATATATATATATACCACTTTGCTGCAGAAGAAATTGAGGTGGTTGGACTTTTTTCTTACGATTTTATCCAAGAGGATTTGGAGTCAGAGGGAAGTTATAACGATAGGCTCTTAAGTTGGGATGGAACAATAGTAATTTTTTTTCTATATTTTTTTAATGTTTTGACATCTTGGGGTCCTAGCTGGCCAGGAAGAAACTGTCTTTCCCAGGCCATAACTCACCTGTTAACATGCCTTTCGAATGCAGACCAACCTATTCCCAGCCATTTCCTTCATGTCTTTCTTGTACACTAAGCCAATGGCTTGGACCTTCCTGTGTCATCTTTCAATGGCTTTGACCTACCTGTGTCATCACTCAGTCATCTTTATAAATTAAGACCTATCTTTAAACTTAAAACTTAAAAAAATATAAGGGAGGGGTGTGTGTGTGCGCGCACGCACGGGTATGTATGCAAACGTGCACGTCATATACACCTACATGAATGAGATATGGTGGAAAGATTTTCAGATTTAGGGCCTCCCCTGGTGGTGCAGCGGTTGAGCGCTGGGCTATGAAGCTGCCCGCAGCCTTTGCAGCGTGGGTTCCATCCCCAGCCACCGGTGATGGTCCCACATGGCGCGCAGACCTCTCCTGTCACACCCACTGCTCCCCTCAGCAGTATATTTCGTCAGTCTGCCTGTTCTGTCTCCCGCTCTGGCTCTGGTGACTCCTCCCCTCCCATGCTTCTGACTGTACCCAGTGCTTGTATAAATAAATAAGTAAATCAAAAAAAAAAAAAAAAAGAATTTCAGATTTAGAGTCAAATGGATTGTTTGAAATCCTGACTCCAGATTTTGCTTCTATAGTTGATGACTTTAGGCAAAGTATGTAAGTTTCTGTGTTCTAGTTTTCTATTCTATAAATATAGAAAATAATATGTACCTGATATGATTTTTAAAGGATGGTCCTCCTTGATGGTGTGGCGGGTTGAGCACAGCGCTGTGAAGCTGTCCACAGCCACTGCAGCACGGGTTCAATTCCCAGCCGGCCAGGGAGATACCCACATGGCACAGCAGACCTCTCCTGTCTCACCCACTGCTTCCCTAAGCAGTGTATTTTGGTCTATCTGCCTGTTCTGCTCCCCACTGTCTCTGGTGCATCCTCTCACCCTCCCACACCTCTGGCCTGTACCCCAATTCTTGTATAAAAATAAATCTTAAAAAAAAAGATTTTTAAAGGACTGAATGAAATGAACTCATCTTTCCCTTCAGTGCAGATTTTTATATTCAATACCTCCTATGCATCTTCATGTCAGTATCTAATAGGCATCACAGATATAGCATATCCTAATTCATGACATCCCCAAATCTTTTCCTACCCAATATCCCCATCCTATGCAGATGGCACCACTATTCACCCCCATTAATCTGGGCCAAAAAACTGAAAGCGGTAGTAGACAGTTTCATCAAATTAATCTTTAAAATACAGTTAGAATCTAAACACTTACCAACTCAACTCCCCCCACCCTAGTCCAACACATTTATTTTGTTCCTTATACTGAACAACTGAAGTAGTTTCCTAACTGCTCTTTGCTTTCTCCTTACACTCTTATTATTCTTCCCTTAGCACCTAGGGTGATTGTTTTAAAACATAATATCAAGCCGTTGCCCCACCTCTCTAGTCATTCAACCCAGTGTATTGAGGATATTCTAGATTCAACCCTTTGCATCTGTTATTGCTTCTGCTCTTTTTCTTGGCTTATTCTTGTACTTTGTTCAGGTGTCAGCTCAAATATGATCTCAGAGAGGCCTTAGATGACCACTCTATTTAAAATAACAGCCTCAGGGTTTCCTTCATAACACTTTAGATATATTATCTACTCATTTATTTATTGTGTGTTTTACTCCCCAGAGGTAAGCAGGAATTTTATGGCCTTTGCTGTTATATCCCTAAGATCGGCACATAATAAGCATTTAGTAAGTACTTAATGGCATGAATAAATAAATTAACAAATCTCTATTCTCATATAAGTAATTTATTTAGCCTTCCTCATTCATTCCACAAATACATATGGAATTCCTACTATATGCCAGACCCTGCATTAAAGACAGTGTGGTCATCAATAAAGACTTGATGCTTACCTTCAAAGAGCTTTCTGGGAGGAAATAGATAGGAGAGAAACATAGACACTCAATACATATATGAAATTAAGAAGGATTTTAAGGAAATGGATACTAAGAGACCTAATTTAATTTCCACATATTTGTACATTTCCCAAATATTTTCTCTCTTTCTTTTTTTAATTTTTTTTATTTTCTTGCTTTCATTTCTTATTTTACTCCACTATGGTTGTAAAAACATACTTTGTTTTATTCTATCTTTTCAATTTATTGAAGTTTGTCCTGGAAAATTTTCCATGAGCATTGTGAGAAGAATGTATACTTTGCTCTTAGGTGAGTGTTCTGTAGATGTCTCTTAGGTCTACTTGGTTTGTGCTATTTTTCAACTTTTCTATTTTCCTTATTGATCTTTTATCTAAGTGTTCTACCATTATTGAAATGTGGTATTGAAGACCACTGCTAGTGAATTGACTATTTGTCCTTTTGCTGAAATCAGTTGTTAAAAGCTTTGTGTTTGGTGCTGTCATGAGGTGCATAAACCATAGTCCCTTCTTGGCCTCAGTTTCAATTTCTGTGGTTTCAGTTTAGAGAGAAAGAGTTATGATTATCCTGTTTTATTGTTGTTACTCTCTTACTGTGACTGATTTATAAATTAAAGTTTATGATACATATATATATAGGAAAAAACATAGTATATACAGGGATTGGTACTCTCTTCAGTTTCAGGCTACCCCTGAGGATCTTGGAAGGTATGTCCTACAGTCAAATGGGACTACTGAATATTTAGAATTGTATCTCCTGATGTAGTGACCCTTTTATCGTTTTGAAATTTTATTTATTTGTTTATACAAGAATCGGGGTACAGGCCAGGAGGGTGAGAGGATTCACCAGAGACAGAGCGGGGAGCAGAACAGGCAGACTGACGAAATACACTGCTGAGGGGAGCAGTGGGCGCGACAGGAGAGGTCTGCTGTGCCATGTGGGACCCTCACCGGCAGGCCAGGATCTAACCAGTGCTGCAGAGGCTGCAGACAGCTTCACAGCTCTGTGCTCAACCACCTGAGCCACCAGGGAAGGCCCTTGCCCTTTATCATTTTGAAAAGCCCTTCTTTATCTGTAGTCACATTTTTTGCTTTAAGCTATTTGTTCTGATAGTAGCATAGCCACTCCAGCTTTTTGTGATTGCTATTTACATAATTTATCTATTTCCATCTTTTTACTTTTCATTTATTTGTATCTTTCAGTGTTTTTAAAAATTTGTTTGCTTATTAATGACTGCTCTGGAGTTTGTCATATACATCTTAATTTATCAGAATCAGTGTGAGATAGAACCTAGCTCAATTTAAGTGATATATAGAATTCTTTCTCCCATATTGCTATATTCATTTCCCTTTCTTTTTATATTATTATTATATATATTAATGCAACAAACTCATCAAACCATTTTTATGATTAATACTTTACTATCTGTCGTCATTTTCTTAGCCCAGTACAACTATGCTCTCATCCACTTATGTTATTATTGGCAAATGTATTACACCACTCTGTAATACACCCAGCATTACATCATACACTTATTATTTTAAGCAATTGCTTTTTAAATCAATTGTGCATTTATATTGTTTTTCCTAATTATATAATGACCTTTAAGGTGCTGTTAGTTTTTTTGTGTGACTTTGAATTACTACCTAGGATCACTTAACTTCAGCTTACAGAGCTTCCTTTAGGACTTCTTACAAAACAGGTCTACTGACAAAAAATTCTCAGTTTTTATCTGGGAAAGCTTTTATTTTGCCTTCATTTAAAGCAAGCTTTTTGGATATAGGATTCCTGGTTGACATTTTTTTTTTTTTTTTTGAGTACTTTGACTAAATTATGGCATTGCCCTCTGACCTCCTTTATTCTGTCATATCCGTTGTTAACTTATCCTGCCCTGCAACTTTACTGAATTCGTTTATTCGAATTGTTTTTTGGTAGAGTCCTTAGGATTTTTTATATATAATATTTTGTCGTCTGCAAATAGAGACTATTTTGCTTATTTTCTAATTTGGATGCCTTTATTTTTTTATTTTAGATTTATTTATTTATGCATACAAAAAATGGGGTACAGACCAGAGGTGTGGAGGGTGAGAGATTTCACCAGAGACAGAGGGGGGAACAGAACAGACAGATTGAAATACACTGCTGAGCGGAGCAGCAGGTGAGACAGGAGGGGTGTGCTGTGCCATGTGGGTAGTTCCCTGGCTGGCAATTGAACTCATGGTGCAGTGACTGTGGATAGCTTCATGGGTTGCATCTTAACCCCTTACACCACCAGGGAGGCCTCTGATTGCCTTTTATTTCTCTTTGTTGCCTAATTACTTTGTCTAGGATTTCTGCTACTGTGTTGAATAAGCAGTGAGAGTGGAGATCCTTATTTAATTCCTGATCTTTCAGCTTATTACCATTGAGCGTGGTGTTAACTGTGGGTTTGTTATTTATGGCCTTTATTTTGTTGAATTACGTTCCTTCTGCACCATATATGTTGAGAGTTTTTATCATGAATGGACGTTGAATTTTGTTACGCTTTTTCTGCATCTGTTAGGATGATCATGTGATTTTTATCCTTTATTCTTAATCTGATTAATTTGCAGTTGTTGAACCATCCTTGCATCCAGGAATGAATCCTCCTTGACCATGGCATATAAACCTTTTAAAATATTATTGAACTCAGTTTACTAGTATTTTGTTGATAATGTTTACATCTATGTTCATCAGGGATATTGGCCTGTAATTTTTTTTTTCTTATATACTTGTGTGGTTTTGGCATCAGAGTAATGTTGGCTTTTTAAAGTGAGTATGTTAGTGGTCTTTCCTCTTCTATTTTTTGGAAGAGTTTAAATGTTTGGTAGACATTACCAATGAAGCCATCTAGTTCTGGACTGTTCTTTATTGGGAGGTTTTTGATTGTTTAAGAAATTGAAGATTAATTTCTTATTCATTATTGGCTTATTCATATTTTCTATCTCTTCATGATTCAGTTTTTTTCTAGGTTGTATAGTTCTAGTTATTTGTTCATTTCTTCTAGGGTTTCCAATTTGTTGGCATATAATTGTTTATAGTAGTCACTTAAGGTCCTTTGTATTTCTGTGGTACCAGTCATAATGTATCTTATTTCTCACTTTATTTATTTGAGTTTTCTCTCCTTTTTTCTTAGTCTGACTAAAGCCTTGACAATTTCATTTATCTTTAAAAAAAAAAAAAAACAACTCTTACTTTCTTTGTCTTCCTAGTCTTTTATTTATTTCTCTCTGGTGTTTTTTTATTTCTTTCTACTTAAGTTGGATTCAATTTATTCTCTTTCTAGTTTCCTGAGGGATAAGCTTAGGTTCTTTAATTTTCTTAGACCTTCTTTTGCTGCATCACATACATTATTGGTGTGTTATGAATCCATTTTTTTGTTTGTTTGTTTCAAGACATATTTTTAGGGCCTCCCCTGGTGGTGCAGCGGTTGAGCGCTGGGCTGCGAAGCTGCCCGCAGCCTCTGCAGTGCTGGTTCGATCCCTGGCCACCGGCGAGGGGCCCACATGGCGCTCAGACCTCTCCTGCTGCCCGCTGCTCCCCTCAGCAGTGTATTTCGTCGATCTGCCTGTTCTGTTCCCCACTCTGGCTCTGGTGAATTCTGTCACCCTCCTGTGCTTCTGACTGTACCCAGTGCTTGTATAAATAAATAAATAAATAAATAAATAAATAAATAAATAAATAAATAAATAAATCTTTTAAAAAAAAAAAGACATATTTTTACTTACCTTTTGATTTCTTTTTTGAGCCATGGGTTGTTCAAGAGGATGTTATTTCATCCCTACATATTTGTGAATTTTCCAGCTTTCTTTCTGTTACTTCTAGTTTTTAAAACTCTATACCAAACTGTACCAAATCAGAATGTCATGTGTGCTTTGAAAGTTCTCTGTGTTTCTGGTCCACGTCTCTGGTTAAGAAATCTGTATCTGAAAACTCACTAAATATTATTCCAGGGGTTAAGGGAGTTCTCATAAATCTTTTGTTTATCCATACTTTCCTGGAATTGACTCTCTTAAAAATATTCATTTCTCTTTATTTCTTTAAAATAGGCTATAATCCATAACTGAGACAAACTTGGTGTATTTTATGATATCTACATTGTTTTTCTCTTGCAGGTGAAGATGAGTTCTTCAGGAAGAAGAAAAGGCAAACCAGGCAAAGGAAGTGGTAAAGGGTCTTCTAGAGGAGGAAGAGGAGGCAGGAGCCACACGAGTAAAAATCATGGTGGCAGTGGTGGTGGCAGTGGTGGCTACAGTGGTGGTGGCAGTGGTGGCAACAGAAAGGCCTCGAGTAGAATTTGGGATGATGGTGACGACTTTTGTATCTTCAGTGAAACAAGACGCTCCTCCAGGTCATTATATTCTTTAAGTGTCAAATGTGGAAACAGTATGAAATCTTTTTTTTAATTATTTTTTTAAAGTATTTTTGAAATTCCATCTTTATTTATTTATTTATACATACATACATATATACATACATACATACATACAAGCACTGTGTACAGTCAGAAGTGCGGGAGGGTGAGAGAATTCACCAGAGCCAGAGCAGGGAGCAGAGCAGGCAGAAGGACCGAAGTACACTGCTGAGGGGAGCAGCGGGCGGCAGGAGGGGTCTGCGCCCCATGTGGGATCCTCCTCTAGTGGCCGGGGAGCAGCCGGGGATCGAACCAGCGCTGCAGAGGCTGTGGGCAGCTTCGCAACCCAGAGCTCAACCACTGTGCCACCGGGGATGCCCAAACATATGAAATCTTAATGTCTGGGACAATAAACAACTGAGATAAAGGGGCAAAATACCACAGGGTTATGGTCAAGTTAACTGTTCCTCTTGTTTTAAAGCCTTGCAGTCTGCCTCTTTGTAACCTTTGCTTTTTCCAGAGGATTCTTGAATTAGGAGAGCCAGATTTAATGAAGAAGAGTCTGATCAGGGGCCTCCCTGGTGGTGCATGTGTTAAAGTCTCAGCGCTGTCAAGCTATCAGTAGCTACTATGGCATAAGTTCGGTCTCTGGCCAGGAAGCTAACTGACATGGTGCAGCAGACCCCTCCTTTCTTGCCCACTGCTCCCCTCAGCAATGTATTTCTGTAGATCTGCCTGTTCTGCTCCTCACTCTTGTCTGGTGAATCCTCTCAGCCCCCCACACCTCTGGCCTAACCCCCAGTTCTTATATGCATAAATAAATAAAAATAAATATTTTAAAAAAATCAATCTCCTTGGGCTTTTTTCCCCAAGAGTTCCATTATAATGAAGTCTGGTTAATACTGTTAGAAATGAAGAATCTCTTCACATTTATTGTCATCGTTTGTAAGATACTTGGGAACTCTGAAAAACATGTAAAAGTTCTGATCACAGATGAATGATTTTGTTCTTGTGTATTTTACAGACCTAGCAACAGTGCAAGAAAAGGAGACGCACGCCCAAAGTGGAAGCCTGAAGCCAAAGTGCCCCTTCAGACTCTACATATGACTTCTGAGAACCAAGAGAAAGTGAAAGCTCTTCTTCGTGACCTGCAAGAACAAGATGCAGATGCTGGATCTGAGTAAATTATTTCACCTGAGTAAATTATATTAAGGAATTTGTTACTGTTTTGGTAATATGAAGGTTCTGAGTGTCCTTAGAATACTGTATCACAGTACAGATCCTGTTGTGGCCATGTAATTACTTGGAAGGGAGCCAAGAGAAATACAAGAATAATTATTAAGCAACAGTTTTAGAGTGAGTTGTTTTGTAATATCTGTGAGCAGTAGTGCAGATTGCTTTTTATCTTCTTTCCCTCCCCTTCCCGCTCCCCACCCCCCAACAGTGGATGTGGATTCAGTAATTGCTTTGTTGTTGTATCTTCCAAATAGAACCTTAGAGCAGAATAAGTAGAAATATTTTTCTAGGAGCAAATATTGAGTTGACCAGAGGAAGTCTTAAAATTGCACTTCTCATGACCATTTGCCTGAACCAAACAATTCCTTGACTATGTTGCTTTGTGATTTCAATTGGAGAAGTCAGTTTTATTTTCATTTCAATTTCTTTCATTTTCATTTCATTGAAAGTTCAATTTTCGTCATATCTACAAATCTCTTATCTGTCTTAGGTTTCTTTGCTATACAGCAAAGAAAAAAATAAGGGATAGTTTTTATGAATGGGAAGAGAAAGAAGGGATAGCCAGGTCTTCTGTGGTTAAGAGTATAGGCTCTGAATTCAGATTATCTTAGGTAAAACCACTACTTCCTCTTTACTGTGTAACCTTTGGTAGTTATTAATCCTAAATTATAATTGATCATCTGAAAATGGGAATTCTGACTGTACCTGATGAGTTTACTAGGAAGATTTTAAAAGAGATAACATGTATGTAACACTTAACATAGTCCTGGCTTGTCATAAATGCCCTATAAATGTTAATTGTCAATATATAAATTAGTCGGAATAGAGTATTAAGTTAGTTATTTAAGAGTTGTCAGGATCCTTTGACTCCTTGAATTAAGTTCTTGCTAAATTTTTCTCTGAAATAAGTAGAAATTAATATCTAATATATGTAATTGTTACCTTTACCAGAAGAGGCATTTCTGGGGAGGAAGAAGATGATGAGCCCGATTGTGATGAAGAGCAGTACTGGTCAGCTGGACGAGAAGCTTCCCTGGTTCCTGACTGTGATCCTTTAGAATATGCTGGCTCGAGTCTAGTAGAGCCTCGTAACACAGAATTTACAGTCTCAACATTTGCAGTGCAAAAGCTTTCCAGGTGATTGCTTTCCCATTTATGAGAGTTGGTAGAGAATTTGTGTAACTGAAATCACATTATAAAACTACCCTTCCTTGAGAACTTTCCTACTGTATGTGTTCTGGAGTGCTGGATACCTAATATCCTCTCCTTTAGGATAAGGGGATTAAGAAAAAAGGATTATTTTCAGGGATGTTTTTGCACAATACAAGCTCTGCCTATATATAGACATAATATCTCATAAATGTATTTAAATGAATGTCACTTCTTTGATTTATATTACTCAGTCTTTTTGTCATGTTTTACACCTGGCAGGTATGGTTTTAACACTGAGCGCTGTCAAGCAGTCCTGAGAATTTGTGATGGTGATGTGGGGGCATCACTAGAACATCTCCTCACCCAGTGTTTTTCAGAGACATTTGGAGACAGGATGAAAATCTCTGAGGCAGTTGCCCGCATCAGCTTGGATGAGTGTCTGGAACAGCGACAAGAAGAAGCATTCGCTCTAAAGTCAATCTGTGGAGAAAAATTTATAGAAAGAATTCAGAACAGAGTCTGGACCATTGGATTAGAACTGGAGTATTTGACGAGTAAATTCTGCAAATCCAAGCAAAAGGAAAGTACCAAAAATATACAACAGACTTCACTAGATGTCTGTAAATTTTACCTCAAAGGAAATTGTAAATTTGGATCAAAATGCAAATTCAAACATGAAGTGCCCCCAAATCAGATTGTGGGAAGAGCAGAAAGAAATGTAGATGATTCTCATCTTAATGCCAACGAAGATGCATCTTTTTTATATGAACTTGAAATTCGATTTTCTAAAGACCACAAGTACCCCTACCAAGCACCCCTTGTGGCATTTTATTCCACCAATGAGAATCTACCTCTGGCTTGTCGTTTACATATTTCTGAGTTCCTTTACGGCAAGGCCTTGACATTTGCAGAAACTTCGGAACCAGTTGTATATTCTTTGATAACCCTTTTAGAGGAAGAATCAGAAATAGTCAAATTACTAACAAATACCCCTCACAAGTACAGTGTCCCTCCTGTGAACTTTCTGCCAGTATCCTCTGGGACCAGAATAAGCAATCCAGTCTGTCGCAAACCAATGATTCCAAATCATTCTTTTGTGTCAAATCAAACTCCAGAAGGTATGTAAGACATTGACGAGGTGGAGGGCATTACGGAGGGGGCATGAGATGGCTGAATTAAAAAAGCCAGTGGTTCTGAGGGCTGGTCTAGGTTCCGTCACTGATCTTAGGCAAATCATTCTCTTCAGGCCCATGGGCACAAGAGCATGAGAATCCATGTACTTCAGTTGTAAGGCCCAATGGTATGACTGTGATTGGTCTCCTTTCAGTTGAAAGTCTGTAGTAGTACAAAAGTTAATTTTAGCATTCGGGAATCTGAATGTTAGAAGCACTTTAAAACGTCTTCCTAGAAAATCTCTTATTTTAATTCATTTGGTTTTACTTGTTTATTTCTGATTCTGTATGTGGGAATACCTCCAAATGAGGTTTTAGACAACTCTTTCTAGACAGCTCTCCATACCCTCCCTCTTTTAGTTTACTAGACCCCAAATCCATTACTGTTGAGCTAACTTTACGAACCCCACGTCCTCAAATAAATGTTTGTGTAAACTGGCTTTATCCAAATACAAGAGAATCTGAATTACAAATCTGGATGAAGAGTCTGTGCAGATTCTTACACCCTAAGTAAACCCTCTTTTCTAAGTTCATCAAAGAATTCTCTTAATTTGTTGCCATCCTTTTGTCAGAGAAACAAATCTTTATTATTTCACAAGAGTTTCTCAGTAAAGAGCAGTAAGTAGAGAACAAGGAGCCTGCACAGGAGATGTAGGTGCTGGGCAGCTGGCTGTGTTCACACACCAGCCACTTGACTCACTCCCAAAGGCAGCTTCTGGCACGTGGGATTTGGATGTATTCCTTGAAAATAACAAGTTGTGTGTAAGACTTTTTTTTTAAATCACAGTTTTACTGAGATGTACTACATATACCATAAAATCTGCTCTTCTAGAGTGTAAAATTGAGTGGTTTCTAGTATATTCACAGGATTGTACAAATGCTATGTAGTAGCAAATACATAGTATTTGCATAATTTGAGAAAGTGTTCATCACCCCAAAAGGAAACATATCTATTAGTAGTCACTCCTCATTCTTCCTTCCCCCAACCCCTGACAATCACCAATCTATGGATTTGCCTATTCTGACATTTCATAGATATGGAATCATACAATGTGTGGCTTTTTATGACAAACTTCCCTCCCTTAGCATAATGTTTTCAAGGTCTTCATGTTGTAGCATTTATCAGTACTGTATTCCTTTTTACTGCTGAATAATTTTCCTTTATACAGAATTACAACATTTTGTTTATTGATTCATCATTTGACAGACATTTGGGTTGTCTAATGTCATCGAATTTTAGGAACACTAAATAGATGAAAAGTTGCAAATAGATGAAAAGTTAATTCTTTAAGTGAAAGAATTAAATGAATTAACAAGACTTGTCATGATTATCTGCTCTGTTTTTAATTTGGTTTAACGGTAACAACTTATAACTGATTAAAATTCATTTGAAGATGCATTTTAAGTTCTTTAGCAGTAGAAGTAATAGTATTGAAATGAATGTACTGGCTTTATTCAAGTTTTAACTTTTTCTCTTTTTTTGTGATATTTTTGTTGTTGCTACTTTACTACATAGTGATTTTCCCCCTTTGCTAAAGAAAGGACTCCATATCAAAAAATGTTTCCTTTTATCCCTTTCAAGTTGAAAAGGAATCAGAACCTGAGGAGACAGATGAGGATGAAGGTCCTGCCCCAGTTATAGTGGAGAATGAGAGCTATGTGAACCTTAAGAAAAAGATTTCTAAAAGATATGACTGGCAAGCAAAATCAGTCCATGCTGAAAACACTAAAATCTGCAAGCAGTTCCGAATAAAGCAGGTAGGGTATTCTGAGACAATGGCTGGTGTTGCTTCCCTTATGTATGGGTGAGGGCTGAAAAGGGAGGCGTAGGCTCCCCTCCCTGGTATACTTTCCGTATACTTTTGGTTCTCTTTCTCTCTGAATGGTCAAAATTTCTACATTCCACAACAAACTTGGGTGTGTATTCTAGATAGTTTTGGAAAATCCACTAATTAGAGAGTGTCAAGCACACACATATAAAATATTCTCAAAATCAGGTGGCTTTGGTACAAAATCTGGTAGACAATCTGATAAGTAAAAGAAAAATTAATACTGTGATTTAAATTAGAAAAATCAGAATAGAAAAGGAGAAGAATGAGGGACTCATGCCATTTCAAAGGCTCACAGGATGAATAACTTGCCCAAGGTCACATAGCTCAAAGAGGTTGCACAGGGATTCAAATTGACTCTGTTTCCGAAGTCCAGTTTGTTTTTACCCCATTCACATTAATCTAAAGGAACCGACAAGTGAACTGTTAAGGCAAAATTGAATGTAGGGCAACAAGATTGGGCATTCGCTTAGATACTAAGGCCCCTTTTGGTTCTAGAATTCTGTAGTTCAGATTTATATAAACTTGTAAACGGTTTATAAAATTGTGCCATAAACAATAAGATGGTAGAAACAAAAAATTATGTACTAGATTCAATTAATATGTTCAGAGGTGATAGATCTACCTGGCAAAATTATGTGCTGAAAATGATGTGTTGTGTAAGTTGCTTACATTATTCAAAAATGCTTCCATAGTTTTAACATATAGTACAAATGTTCAAATCCTTGGCCATCAGATGTCAGACTGAGGTACATCAGTATGGTAATTGGCCATGAGGAACCCTTTTGTGAGGGTTCTCACTATTACTGATGTCAGGAAAAATCTAATATTGTCCATCTGTTGAACATAATGGTATTTTCCATTTCTGATATGCTGCCCAATATGGTACCCCCCTACCCATGTTTCACTATTTAAATTAAAATGAATTAAAATTAAATTAAAATTTAGTACCTCAGTACCTCTGACTATATTTCAAATGCTTAACAGCAACATGTGGCTCCATCAACATAAGTTCTGTTGGACACTATTGGTATAAAAAATTCTTCCTAAGAAAGGCTGAAGAAGTACTAAGCAAGAGAGATTTATTTTTCTTCAAGGATATTTATCTTATAAGATCTTTCAACTTGTTTGGATGTAGGAAAACCATACAGATTCTATAGCTTATTCTGTCTGATTTTCTGAGCAGCCTTCTGGCTAAAGTTGTCAGTGTCCAGCACCAACAAATCTCTGTAATTTCTGTCTCTGAACAATTTGGTAAAGAGCAGAAAGTGTGAGTCTGACTGTGAATCTGTATTTAGAGCTTTGTGAAAGGTAATCCAAAGTAACCCACTGATGCCTTATCTCTTCTTTTGTTAGGCTTCCAGACAATTCCAGTCAATTCTGCAAGAAAGACAGTCACTCCCTGCTTGGGAAGAAAGAGAAACCATTCTTAAATTGTTGAGCAAGCACCAAGTGCTTGTTATAAGTGGTATGACTGGGTAAGATGCAATTCATTTATAATGCAGCTTTCATCTCTAAATATGTTATGTACTCTGGTTACCATAAAGAGTTCTACTTTTAAAAAACCAACAGCTGGTTTTATTTATGCTTTTTCTTGCCAATATTAGGGTAATATTTCACAGAGGCTAATACTGTGACTAGTATAGCAAATGGAGCCAAATTACAGAAAGTAAAATCAAAACTCAGAAATTCTTCCAAGAATTTATAAACATGGGTTACTTTTGCTTTGAGACAATCTTAAGGTTAAAAAAAAACCTAGCTGAAGATTTACAGTAAGAACCATTTTTAAATATAAAAGACAGTTCCAGACAATTCACTTGAAACCTTTTCATCTTCTTAATTTATTTCTTCTTCTAAATTGAACTTTTATTTCTTCTTTTAATAACAACTTAGAGCACGGTATTTTTCCTGTTTCACACTTGCCCTTTATTATCCAAACCTATTTGACAGGGTAAGTTGCAAGTTTAATTTAATTCTGTGTTCAAGGGTATTCAATTTAATAATAATGTTTGTGCCCAGATTCATTGGCACAATTATCTATTCAGTAATTCCAGTTTGATGATACTAAATGATGCTAAACTGTTATTTGATTGCCCTGTTAATCTGAGTGCAAATACCTATGAGTTATAAGCTCAGTAGACAGGTTTAGAAGATAGGTGGACAACTTTTACTTTAACTGTCTCACTTTCCTCATTACATATGATTGCTTCTTTAGTTAACTTAGTACTCGAAAACTCTCATTTTAGGACATATTTGTTTTGACATACAGATGTGGAAAAACCACACAGATTCCTCAGTTTATTCTGGATGATTCTCTGAACGGACCACCAGAGAAGGTGGCTAACATCATCTGTACACAACCCCGACGAATTTCTGCAATCTCTGTGGCTGAACGTGTTGCTAAAGAGAGAGCAGAAAGGGTGGGTCTTACTGTGGGATACCAGATCCGGTTAGAAAGTGTCAAGGTTGGTATGCTTTACTTTTCTCAGGGCAAGAGAAAACATATAGTTTTCAAGTATAAAGAGTTCTTGGGGTCTGGAGATTTAGGGGCAATTTGGGATATATTAATTAAATTTAAATTAATGACCTTCTTCAGTATGGCCAAAGTCTTAATAGAAATATTTTGGTGTAAGAACTTTTATTTGGTTACACTTACTTTCTTCTATGAAAGCAGAAGTGGTCTAGTAAGTGCTATTTTGCTCTTAAACCTGAGACTTAGATTAAGGAATAAGGAATAGACAAATTCAGAACTGATTTCATCATTCATTGTGTTTTATGCGTTGTACGCATTCCTGAGCACTTTTTATGAGCCTTATGCTTAAAATTTTGATATGAAGTAGAAAAGCTTTTATTCTTGCCACAGGCAAAAAAAACTACATTTAGTGTGGTTTCATTATTAAGTGGGATTAATAGTGTTTTCAATATTCTTTGTCCCAATCCATTCAAAATGGCTTGCCAGGAAAGTGTTGCCTTTTCAAAAATTTCATAAATGCTTTCTGTGTAAGTCCTCAGCCACCAGACTCTTATACTGCACCACAGGAGTGCTGCTGCGGAGGCTGGAAGGAGACACAGCTCTGCAGGGAGTCACCCACATCATTATTGATGAAGTTCATGAGAGGACGGAGGAAAGGTAAAACGGCTTATCCAAATGACTGCCCACGCACATAAAATGAAGATGTGGCTGAGAACTTTATTCTACTTCCAGTTCAGTTTTGTAGAGCTAGTAGTGGTCATTTGCCATAGAACAAGCCTAAGTTAGAAGAGAGGAATTGCTTTCCTAGTCTTCAGGGTCTGTGACACTAAGAATGTTAGGAGAGCACATGGTTGTCCCTCGCAGAGTCATCCTATTAAATGGACGTTATTTAATCAGAGATACTGAGCACCTCCTGGGCTGCAAATTTAGCAGGTACAATATTTAGCTGGAAAAACACATGTCATGTCTGCTGTAACTGATAAATTGGTCAGCATGTGTTTCTTTGTTCAACCATGAACAAGTAAACATAAACAACTAAAAATTAGAGTAAGTGTTATAAAGGAATAGATAGGATGGAAGAGAGACCTACGATAATAAGGAAATATAAAGATGACATTTAAATTAAAACCTGCAGTATGAGCAGGAGTCCCATGTGACAGAGAGGGACAAGGCATTCGCAAAGATTCTAGTGGTAAGGGCTTTGTGAGTCCAGAAAGTGGAGGAGGACCAGAACAGCTGGTTGTGGTGAGTGAGGGCAAACTGGTAGCAGGACAATCAGGAGCTGGATCTTCGAAGGCCTTACTCACAGTGAATAATAAAGTCTTTGGCCTTCATTTTAATGGAATTGGGATTGAAGCAGAATGTAAGAATTCTTAGTATTTTGAAAGGAAGATCCAGGTAAATTGGTGACAATTATAGTGTCTCAAGTGGATCATAACCTAGAGCAGTAAAAGAAAAAGAAAACTAGTAGGAAAAAAGAGAGAAAATTAAAAATTAGTAGGTTTTCAAAAAAAAAAAACTGTTATAAATATCTTCAAAAGGGGTCTCCCTGGTGGCACAAGGGATTAGATCTCAGCACAATGAAGCTATCAGCAGCCACTATAGCATAAGCTTGATCCCTGGCCAGGGAGCTAGCCCACATGGCGCCGCAGACATCTCCTATCTCACTTGCTGCTCCTCTCAGCAGTGTATTTCAGTAGATCCACCTGTTCTGCTCCCCACTGTCTCTGGTGAATCTTCTCACACCCACCCCCACACCTCTGGCCTACACCCCAGTTCTTGTATGCATAAATAAATAAAAATAAGTCTTTTTTTCCAAGTCATTCTCAGTCCTTCCCTAGATTTAACTATCTGGTTCAGATTGTTACCTCCTTCAGTACATTGGTTTGTATGTTTTCTTTATTAGAAATAACTACTTTTGTTTCCTGACCTTTTATCTTTCTAGAAATAATACATTCATTTAGGAGTTACAGACATTTGTTGAGCACCTACTATATCCCAGGCATTGTTCTAGATTATTAAAGTAGTGAACAAATAGATCAAAATCCCTGTCCTCAGAGAGGTTATATTCTAATGTCCTCAGAGAGGTTAGGGTGAGCCTAACAATAGGCAAGATAAGTGAGTAAAATGCAGAGTATGTTGAGTGCTTAGAAAAGAAGGGGTGATGTGAAATGCAAGGAAGGAGAGCATGTGAATTTTTAAGTAATTTTTCACCTGGGAAAGCCAGGCTGAAAAGGCATTTTTGAGTGAAATTTTAAAAGGAAGTGAGGGAACTACCTAGACGAATTGCCTGGGAAAAGCCCTGTGGGCAGATTAAACACACATGCAAAGCACCTGAAGCCTCAAGCACAGCAAGGACAGTGTGGCTAGAGTTGCGTGAGTCAGTGACGAGCAGGAGGAAATAAGTGGTGGGGTGCAGGCAGTGTCTCCTAGGGTTGTGGTAATGAGGACTTAATGGGTCGTTGAATGATGGTAAGCAAAAGAGTGACACGATAAAATTTACATTCGAACAGAATTATTGTCTGCTGTAATTGAGAATCAGTTGCAAAAAGGCTAGGACTGAAGCAGGGAAACCAATTAGGATATTGCATCTCTACAGAACATGACCTACAATTTGTTTTTTGTTGTTGTTCACTAATGATATGTCTTAGGGATGGTTTCATGACAGTGTCTACAATCCTACCTTTTCCTTTGTATCCACCTATTTTTCCATAGCATAGAATATATTATTATAATAAACCACTTCTTGGTTGATGGATAGTTAGTCATTTCCAGTACTTTACTGTTACAACCAAGGCTTGATGAAAGTCTTTGTATATATATCTCTGTATGTACATGTTAATATCAAATAGTAGAATCATCAAATGCAATGATAAATCCTATCCTTTCATTAATCAAAATATGCCAAAAGCTATTAATTTTCATGTACTGGATTCATTTCATTCTCAGATTTTTCTTTTATTTTTCTCTAGTGACTTCTTGCTTCTGGTTTTGAAGGACATTGTGATACAGAAGCCAAATCTTCAAGTTATTCTAATGAGTGCAACTTTAAATGCTGAGCTCTTTTCAGAATACTTCAATTTCTGTCCAATTATTACTATACCAGGTAATTAAGATGCATCATTAAATATGTATTATTCTGACATACAAAAATAAATATTTTAAAGTTCATCTGAGACATAAATTAGTAGGTCTTTATACCTCTCTCTAGAGAAGTGATTAGTTTTTATCAAAATTGTAACTCTATAAAATCATCACAAAAGGCAACATATCCATTTGCTGGGAGATTTCAGTTTTATTTGTGCTTTTCAAAACAGTCTGGTATTCTAGTATTCCATTGTGTTTACTATCAAAATATGAGTTTATAGTGGTGATTTGTCATAAAGAGGAAAGTGATATATATCTGTGTGTAGCATGTCTTCACTGCTGGATTCTGCTAAATTTTTGGATATGGGTTCATTCTGAGAGAAAGGAAAGTTGCATCATCTGTGTGTTCTTTTGGTGTTTGCAGTGTCATTGTGGGAATAAGTGATCACCCTGGGCTTTGAATAAGCCTTCTAAAATTGGCTTGGAACAATTTGAAAGCACTGACTGATGAATAATAGTGCTATTTATTCTAGCTGTAGAAAATATTGACAATAGATTTAAAAAATAGATCATATCTTTGATCCAGAATACAACTGTTGAATGGTTATAGGTTCCCTGTGGGAGAAGAAAGGAGGGTGAGAAACGTTTAACAGTTTTAAAAATGAGAGAAGTAAAAAAAAGTCTTATTAGCAAATGATCCACCAATATACGTCTATTTTCTCTACTAACAGGAATCTCTCTCTTCCAGTTTCTATCATCAAAATCTTTTTTTTTCCATACTTTTAAGACTATAAAGCAAATAAGACCTTACTGTGCCAAACTTTGTTTTAAAAGAATTTTATAGAGACAGACTATTTCCAGATAATCAACCTGGTATTCTGAGACATTTTTATTTTTCTTTTCTTGTTTTTCTAGGTCGTACATTTCCTGTTGATCAGTTTTTTCTGGAAGATGCAATTGCTGTTACAAGGTAAGGAAGACAGTAATTACAAGTCAATGAAAGCCTTGAAAACAGTGATTATCTTGCCTACTTGGGCTGAGATACTAATAAATGTATTCATTTTTCTTCTTTCTGTTTTAGCATTTTGTTTTTCCCTTTCAGCAAATATTTATTACACAAGTTATTTGCAAATCACAGGCCATATTATTTATTAAGAGTACTGACTTTGAAGCCCTTATATTGGATATTGGATGATAACATGTGTTGATGTGTTTTCATCAATTGTAACAAATGTTCCGCTCTGGTGGGAGATGCTGACAATGGGAGAGACTATGCTTGGAATAGGGTCAAGGAGTTATATGGGAATCTCTGCCTTCTACTCAGTATTGTTTTGAATCTAAAACTAAGAAGTAAAGTAAAAAAAATTATGGAAGTCCAAATATATGGAGAATTTAACATTTAGAAAAAGTACTGATTCTGTAAACTGCTATTATTTAAATCTCTCCATTTACTAACCTATAACATTCATCAGTAGCTTAATCTCTCTGTGACTCAGGTTCATCTTACATAAGATGGTTATATTGGTAGTAGCTGTTCACAGTATTGTTATGAGGATTAATTAATTACTATGTGGAGTTAATACTTGAAAAATTCTTAGATCTGTGCTTAGTCTAGTAAATGCTATATAAATGCTAAGTACCTTTATCACTCTACCCTCAAGGAGTATGCAGTAATATACAGTGTGAAGATGTCTGTATAATTTCAGTACTGCATAGAAGAATGTAGTGTCAATGGATACAAACAGATTTCTCTCCTTTGAAAGCCCAGTTTCGTCCTACTTTTTGACCTTGAAGATTCCCCAGAGTTTTATACTTGCACACATCCTGTTTGTTCTCACTATTAAACTCTTCCTTTGCTCTCTGAGACTCATGTGATTTTAGCTGTCACCTCTGTGTCAAGAACCACACGCCAGTATCTTCATTTCTAACCTCATATTCAGAATGAAATGTTTTAGCACCTTAAACTCAAAAGAGAATTTTTCTCCTTTTCCCTGCTCTTTCCATTCCTAATAAGTTCCCTTCCCAATTCTTTATTTAATGGTATAGTAGTTTCAAGCTCAAATCCTTAAGCTTTAGTGTGTAATGAGTATACATAGGGCGTATATTAAAATTACTATTTTTCAGGGCCTTAGTCCACTTCCATTGAATATGAACCTCAGGGGAAATCATCTTTTAACTCATTAACCTGTCTTTATTCTCTTTTTTAAACTCACTGCCTCCAGAGTTCATAAGACAGAATTAATTACTCCTCCTCTTCTTAAAAACTTTCATTGGCTCCCTATTACCCTCATTATGCGGACACACGAGGCCTCCATCACACAAGATATCAGCCTACATTTAACTTCCTTTATATTATTCTACTCACACAAAGCTTAGTACCACTAGGCTAACAGCTGTTTCTCAATCATGCCAGACTATTACTGTCTTTATTCCTTTCTCTTCCTCACCTATTCATTCTCCAGCATCCACCTCAAATGTTCCCTCCATGAAATCTCCTATTTTCTTTCATTAGAGAGTAAACATTTCTTCACTAGATGTCTTAGAGTACTTTTCTGGTGCTTCTAATGATACCTGTTTCCATGTATCTGACAGTATGGTAAGTTGTTTCAGTATATCTACCCTATTAATTTGTCATTTCCTTGAAAGAATACTCATTTCTATATACCAGACCACCCACACACCTCCATATTTCCATGCATGAAGTAGGAATTCAGTAAATGTTAAACAAGCAAATGTTGAATGTGAAAGGAGATTGTGGCATTTGATGGAGGGAAGAGATTGGAGGGAGTCAAGATTGTAGGCTTTCAGACTTTTTTAAAGCTACAATTATGTCCTTTCTTTAATTGAAATCTTACAGGGAATCATAAAGCAATGAGAGCTAAAGGCAGAGTGACCTGGCTGGAAAAGGTAGAGGGGAGAACAGGGTTCTCCACTTGTCAACTGTGTTCCTATCCCAGACCTTCCCCTGAGACTGAGAAACCTTTGGGGCTTGAGAAAAAATAGTTTCAAACCACTTATCTAGGTCAGTTCCCTCAATATGTGAGCAAATAAAGTCCTTTGAAATGATTTTTATCAAGTCCCATGGCACCCCCCTGGTGGCCTAGGGGTTAAGTCTCAGCGCTGTCACCACTATAGCCTAGGTCCGATCCCCGGCCAGGGAGCTAACCCACATAGCACAGCAGACCTCTCCTGTCCTGCCCACTGCTCCCCTCAGCAGTGCATTTCAGTAAATCCACCTGTTCTGCTCCCCACTCTGTCTCTAGTGAATCCTCTCACGCCCTGGACCTCTGGCCTACACCCCAGTTCTTCTATGCAAAAATAAAAAATATGTATTTTTTAAAAAGTCCCATAGCAAGTTGATTTAGTGGCAGATATATAATTCAAAGCCAGAGCTTTAGACCTCAAGTTAGTATTTTCCAGTAGTAAGCCAGTCAGAGTTTTGAAATGTTTTGAGGAGTCAGTTGCCTGAGAATTATAATTGAAGTTATTATGGGTGTAGTTGAAATTGCCAAAGAAGAAAATAAAATGGGGAGGGCAGTACTGATATACAGCTTGAATAAATTTTCTGAACATCCATGCCACTTCTCCTGGGTAGAATTTTTTCCCAAATTCTTATCTGATCTCCTGTCTTTTTTAAGTCAGGCAGTGCTGAAAGCATTCTAGCATCTTCCCCACCAGAAATAGGGCACAGCCAATGGAATCCTGGACTTAGAAGAATCACTCATGAATTGGTCAGAAACAAGACAACATGTGCTGAATGGGCACATAAAGAGGTGAATGTTTGTTCCTCCCTCCAGCAGACCCCCATGCACACACACACACTCCTTTGTCTTCCTTCCTCAGATACGTGTTACAGGATGGGAGCCCATACATGCGCTCCATGAAACAGATGTCAAAGGAGAAGCTCAAAGCAAGGCGCAACAGAACAGCTTTTGAAGAAGTAGAGGAAGACCTGAGGCTCTCCCTTCACCTCCAGGATCAGGATTCTGTCAAAGATGCCGTGCCAGATCAACAGTTAGATTTTAAGCAGCTCCTGGCCCGCTATAAAGGTAATGTGCTTCCTTCCTAGGGAAATATAACCATGCCAAAGATTTCTAGCATTTTTCCCCCACCATGATCCAGAAGAAAAAAATGTGGTTCCTGCTGCATTGTTTTAAATTCGTCAGAACAACCTTAAACCCAGAAAGTAGCAGTTCTAACATATATAGATTATAATTGTTATTATAGTTAACAGTGGGTTTTTTCCTGATCATAAAAGAAATGTGATAGAGTAAAATAAAATTATATTCTTAAGTAATTCGCTACCTGTTATTTTGATAAGATTCAAATTTACAGAGATATTTGTAAGACTATAGAATGAATTCTCAAATATCCTTTACACCAATTCACCAATTGTTTGTTAATATTTTGCTTCATTTGCTTTGTCATTTGTTCTGTGTGCATGTAGATATTTCCTGAATCTTTTGAGCGAAAATTCCAGCTATGATGTCCCTTAGCCTATAGTACTTCATTCAGTATATATTTCCTAAGAACAAGGACATTATTTTATATTACAGTAGTGTGTGATCAAAATGAAAACATTTAAGGGCCTCCCTGCTGGCGCAGTGGTTGAGCGCTGAGTTGCGAAGCTGCCCGCGGCCTCTGCAGTGCCGGTTCGATCCCCGGCTGCTCCCCGGCCACCGGAGGAGGGTCCCACATGGCGTGCAGACCTCTCCTGCCGCCCGCTGCTCCCCTCAGCAGTGTACTTCGGTCCTTCTGCCTGCTCTGCTCCCTGCTTTGGCTCTGCTGAATTCTCTCACCCTCCCGCACTTCTGACTGTACCCAGTGCTTGTATAAATAAATAAATAAATAAAAATAAATCTTTAAAAAAAAAAAAGAAAGAAAACATTTAACACTGATACAACACTGTTATTTAATCCATGGTCCATACTCTTTTAACTTTGCCAGTTATCCCACTCACTGCCTATATTGCTGTTTTTTCCTATCCCTGTATTACATATTGCATTTGTTTGTCATGGTCTTTCGTTTTCTTTAATATGGATTAGTTCTTTAGCCTTTATTTGTCTTTTATGGCCTTGACTTTTTAAAGAGTTCAGACCAGTTATTTTGTACTGTCCCTCCATTTGAGTTCGTCAAATGGCTTCCCAATGATTAAATTTAGGTTATGTGCTGTTGGCTTGTCACCTTATTGATGATGTTAACTTAATCACTTGGTTGAGGTGAGTGATGTCTGCTAGGTTTTTCCCCTGTGTAGTTAACATTTATTACCTTTGTAGTTAATAAGTCATTTGTGGGGAGATGACTGAGACTAAAGATCCCATAATAGCCTCAACATTTCACCCATTTGTCTGAGTTTTATTCATGGGCTGTTTAAATGACATAGTGTGAGGGTCCCCCCCTATGCTTAGCCCTTTCATACATGTTGTCAGATGCTCCCTTCTCCCACGCCAGACCCCATGCAGCTGCTCTTCGTTCCTATGTAAGCTGGGCTGAACCCTGAAAAAACCTGAGGTTACTACTTTTGCTTTCTTCCTGTAACCTAGGCCAGAGGCAGGGCTCTACTGCCTTTTCTGCTCTCTTCTCCCTGGACTGCTACCCCAGCTTTTTTTAGTCCTTCCCACCCCCCAAAAGTACTTTTCTTTCAAGGAGCAAGAGCCACTAACCCCTACTACTGCTTCTCTAGCAGAAGAGGCAGGGGAATTCTTTCCTCCTTCCTTGGAAGACGGTCTTCCCAATACTTGATGGGAAAACTTAGTCTTCCCAACGCAGTGAGATGTAAAGTTAAGAGCATGGACTTGTATCCTACAGACCTGGGTTCAACTCCCAAGTCTGTCATAAAACCAGCTGTATGATCTTGAGCAAGTTCCCTATTATCTGTATACTTCAGTTTCCTTATCTGTAAAGTGGGAATCCACAGCATAATGTCCAGCTGGTAAGTGCACATTTGTGAATCTAATTAAAATGTGTCTGACACAGCTGTTTGTGTTCTTTTTCTATATCATACCTAAGCTGACAATTCCTATTTGGTTATTCTGTTAAACTGTGGAACAGGAAAATCCCTTTGGTTTCTCTTTTGAAACTTCAGGGTTATTTTTAGAGAATTATGACTGTATATAAGCCAAGTCTTTCTAATTTCAAGGACAGAGGCTACTAAAGTTCAGAAAGTTCCTCTAAGGAAAAAGGAGGGAGAATTTGAGGTCAGGAGACCTGGTTCTGCCACTAGCTGCTGTACGGTACTGGGCTGATTAATCCCTTAGCGTCTGGAAGCCTCCTTTCCCTGGGAGAAAAAGCTTGGTCTAGTTGATCTCAGTGCTCTCTTTCACTTTTCAGAAAATTAAAAAATTTCCTAGCTCAATTTCTTAAACGTTTCTAGCTTTAAAAAAAGGATAATCAGCCTTTGAACATGTGTACTGATTAGTAACAACTGCTGAATATTTAAAAAAATAGTAATAAGATTTTTACTTCTCATCCTTTTTTTTTTCAATTAGCTGGCCCTCTTTCCTTTTTGAAATGACTGCTCAGAATCTTGGCAAGTAAAAATCATTCCTGTTCTACCTCCCACTCCAACCACACCCTTGTTTGAGTAGCTTATTCCTTCCTTTCATTTTTGGCCAACATAGGGTTGGCCTTGATCCCAACTACAGTTATTTGATTTAGCTAGACTGTGCTTAGGGTGATGGGCCATCGGGAAGCCCCAAGAAGAAAGGACAACAGTCTTTAGAGAGTTAGTCTCCCTAAAAATGTTATTTGTTTTTAAATGAGCAGAGGTAAGGTGGTGGAGGGAAGCAAATATTGTTTGAAAATGAATAATGATGTAAAAAATAAAAAAAATAATAAAAAAATGAGCTGAGGTAACTTATCTTATAACCCCAAAATGTATCTTTTACTGGGCCTGAGATGTGGTAGCAGGAGATTGTAGACCCTTAAATTGAGGGTCTGTGGATAGACCTCAGGGATACTGTGAAGTCATTAAATTCACATGTATTTTTCAGGGAAGATTCATACTTGTATCATTTTTTCAAAGGAGCCTAAAGAGTCACGGTTGTAGAGGTACAGTGACAACTGTGGTCTCTACTCCTTAATTTCCAGGGGTTACCTAGACTGCTCCTGACCCAACTCATGATTTGATTGAATCTGGGAGGAGTCTCTAAAATGTATTTGAGGGCCTCCCCGGTGGCGCAGCAGGTTGAGCACAGCGCAGTGAAGCTGTCTGCAGCTTCTGCAGTGCGGGTTCAATTCTCTGCCGGCCAGGGAGATACCCACATGGAGCAGCAGACCTCTTCTATCTCGCTCGCTGCTCCCCTCAGCAATGCTTTTGGTCCATCTGCCTGTTCTGCTCCCCGTTCTGTCTCTGGTGAATCCTCTCACCCTCCTGTACCTCTGGCCTGTACCCCAGCTCTTGTATAAATAAATAAATCTTAAAAAAATTTTTTTTTTAATTTAAATAAATAAATAAAATGTATTTGACTTTGAGTTTTGTTTCTGGAACATAAATTATCCGTACCTGTGTAAATGAATAAAAGGGAAAGAAATAAGGAATGTCAAAAGTGGCTAGTCAGAGTCTTTCTAGCAGAGGCTAGAGTCTCTCTGTGGGTCATTTTTCAAGTAGAAAGTACTTCTAGTGCATCTGTGTTTCCTGAGAGAATAAAAGAAAAAACTTCATTTCGGTGCCTTAAATGTCTGTGTTATTAAATCAAATCAAGACATTAACCTCATTCACAGGCAGGTTGAATTCCATATGTGTAATTATCCTTCTAATTTTGTCTTTCTTTCAGGGGTCAGCAAGTCAGTCATCAAAACAATGTCTGTCATGGATTTTGAAAAGGTTAATCTTGAATTAATAGAGGCCTTATTAGAGTGGATTGTGGATGGAAAACACTCCTACCCTCCAGGTACCTGCTTCCTGTCTTCATCTATGTGAAAGGTAGCAAAGGGGAAGGGAGGTTACTTACTGAGATAATGGGCACTAAGGTGACAGCTTCCTGGAGTTTTCCCTCATTCCCTTACCTTTTTACCCAGTTGCTTACTAGACTTTGCAGAGGGACATTTTACCTTAACTTTTTGAGAATCACTGTTTGTTTGTTTTTTTCACTCCCATGGAGCAGAGATGTTAACAATCCAAAGTCTAAATGAAAGAAAGTTGAACAGAAGGCCTATATGATTCACGTATTAAATGCTCAGTTCCAGGCCTCCCCGGTGGCGCAGGAGTTAAAGTCTCAATGCTATCAAGCTATACCAGCCACTGCAGCATGAGTTGGATCCCTGCCCAGGTAGCTAACCCACATGGAGCAGCAGACCTCTCCTGTCTCACCCGCTGCTCCCCTCAGCAGTGTATTTCAGTAGATCCACCTGTTCTGCTCCCTGCTCTGTCTCCAGTGAATCCTCTCACCCCCAGCCCACCCCAGCACCTCTGGCCTACATCCCAGCTGTTGTATGCATAAATAAATATTATAAATCTTAAAAAAAACAAATTTTAAATTTATTTCCTTCTATATAGATAATTTTACCACTCAAATTGTGTGGTATTTCAGTAGAAAGGACTGTGGGATATGGAATAGAAAGAACATGGATCTGTGCTGGAAACCCTTGGTTTGTGCCCAAGCTTCTCATCCTGGTTATTCTGTGACCTGGCCAAGGTTGGAAATCACTTGGAAGGGTACTAACAACGTCAGTGAGTGTCTGTGAGGATCAGATGAGATACTGTACATGAAAATTTGTATACTATAAAATATTAAAACTACCTGAAATATATTTTTTTCCCTTCTTACTTCAGAGTTCCATTTTTGCAATAATTTAGACTCCTTATGTATTTAGTGGCAAGAATCCTATGACAAGTAATATATAGATGATAATGAGGCAGATCTTTGTTTTATATCTCATTGCACCTAGCACAGAGCTGACATAGGCACCCAATGTATATTTGTGGCACTAAGGGAGGGGCTAGTGAATAAAGCCCTATGGCCTGTAAACCATTAATATGGATGGCATGGTTAGTTAACATACTGCCCCTTCAAGATAGACTTGAATTTATTTTATTTTTTTATTTTTCTCTTTTTACATCTCTGAATTTATATTACCAGGTTGGCCAGCCAATTACAGTTTCTTCTGTTGAGTAAAATGTTAATGGATTTTATTTACTAAGAGCTAAAAGAGTCTTCCTGTCCTATAAGATTAGAAGGATAACGCTTCCAATGTAAACAAAATGTCAGTGGCCAGCACACTGAAGAAGTATGTTTAAGGTCCCTTGTAGACTTTACAAAGAGAAGAAACTTGACAGTAAAAAATTCTCAAGTTACTATATTTTTTGTTTTAAAATAGTTTTAGAATCTTTATTAGTTTTTCCTTTTTCCATCTATTAGAGTGATTCTTTTTTCTCTACCTAGGTGCTATACTTGTATTTTTACCAGGACTAGCAGAAATCAAAATGCTTTATGAACAACTACAGTCTAATTCTCTTTTCAACAACAGACGTAGTAACAGGTAAGTTACAACTTGCTTTCTAGATCCTTAATCATCCATTGCAGTTACATGTGAAGATGAATTGACAGAAAGGCCTCTCTGATGGCCATCACCCTCTTTAGATCCTGGTGGCATGCCTCAAGAATATGTTTGTTTATGCCAGCTGGAAATACACAAACCTGTTTGCTCCAGAAATCAATTTTTTCCCATTCCATTAAATAAAAATATTTCTCCTCATTTAGTATAATGACTCAGCTAACTTGCATGTAATTTCAGTTGTCAGATATAGAAGATGTCTACCATTTTGAGAAAAAAGAACTTTCAGCAGTTCTTGTTCTCCTATCAGAACACAACAGTGTGGGGCCTCCCCGGTGGCGCAGCGGTTGAGCGCTGGGTTGCGAAGCTCCCCACGGCCTCTGCGGCCCCGGTTCGATCCCCGGCTGCTCCCCGGCCACCAGAGGAGGGTCCCACATGGCGCGCAGACCTCTCCTGCCGCCCGATGCTCCCCTCAGCAGTGTACTTCGGTCCTTCTGCCTGCTCTGCTCCCTGCTCTGGCTCTGCTGAATTCTCTCACCCTCCCGCGCTTCTGACTGTACCCAGTGCATGTATAAACAAATAAACAAAAACAAATAAATAAAATAAAAATATATGCCTCTTTTAAAAAAAAAAACAAAACACACAACAGTGTGTCTTTATGTCTAAGGGGAAAATTACTTGATAGATAAACACTCCTTAGAAATATAAGAATGTAGTTTCTTAGATTATGTCATTGTTCTGCCTCTTTCTGGACTTAAAGTTAGGGAGAACATGATTCTGTGCTGTTTAGTGTGCTCCAGGGTTTGTTATTTATTTCTCTTAATTATTTACTACCAAATTGCAGTGTACTCTTTTCTCCAAGTTGATACAAGGTTTTAGTTAACAGAACTGAGTAGATATTTTGTAAGAGTCCGAATGAACCTTCCTATTTAGAAAAGCTGGGCCCTGAAGACAGTTTGTGGAGAAGCTGCCGATACTTGATGTCACATCAGTAACGTTACTAGAATCCACCCACTGTAACCAATTTCAGTGTTATGTACTAGAACACTTAATGTACTGTTATTTCCTTGCAGATGTGTCGTTCACCCACTTCATTCGTCTTTATCCAGTGAAGAGCAGCAGGCAGTGTTTGTAAAACCTCCTGTAGGAGTAACTAAGATTATAATTTCCACCAACATTGCTGAGACATCAATAACCATTGATGATGTTGTCTACGTCATCGATTCTGGGAAAATGAAAGAAAAAAGGTACTACCCTTTAGAGATGTAAGAGAGGGACTGAAAATGCCTCATTTAACACAACTGTTAATGGCTCCTGTTATTAAGCTCTGTGGTTTAATGTTTGAAAAAAATACTTTATGAAAACTATATGGATGGATGCATGAATCTATAGCCAGGATCGAATGGATTTGGGGAGTTTAAAGTGTTTACCTTGGAAGTAATTATATTTCCTCTCATTTTCTCATATTCTTTTTCACCTGTGCATGAATGAAAAAGAGCTGATATGCTGCCTGTTCCATTCCCCACTCTGTCTGGTGAATCCTCTCACCCCCTACACCTCTGGCCTGTACCTCAGCTCTTATATGCATAAATAAATAAATCTTAACAACAAAAAAAAAAAAGAGCTGATATGGGAGGTGATGAATATGTTCATTAATTTGTGGCAATTACGTCATAATGTATACAAAAACTTCACAATATATACCTTAAAAATATACAATTTTTATTTGTCAAAAATAAATTGAAGGAAGAATTTTTAAAAATTGAATAAAGAATGTACACGTAGTGGCATTTGATACTTTTAAACCAGCACTAGGTGCTCCCACCAGGGAGTCAGCTATCCCAGAACCCTTAGGGTACCGTGTCCTCTTGTGGACATGAGGTGACTCATCTGTTCTGCCCAGGCTAAATAAAGTCTTGGCCACATTCCTATAAAATAACTCTTTGTGACATTTTCTTAATAGATATGATGCCAGCAAAGGGATGGAAAGTCTAGAGGATACTTTTGTCTCTCAAGCCAATGCTTTGCAAAGAAAAGGTCGAGCAGGCCGTGTTGCGTCTGGGGTCTGCTTCCATTTGTTCACTAGTCATCACTTCAATCACCAGCTTTTAAAGCAGCAGCTACCAGAAATTCAAAGAGTGCCACTGGAACAGCTGTGTCTAAGGTATATCTTGATCTTCGTGCCTTGCTTCCAAAGGTGTAAATGTTTTTCACCCTAAGTTCCATGTTTTCTTTTTCTTAATAAAAGACATTTTGGGGGCTCCCTGGTGGTGCAAGGGGTTAAGACACAACCTGTGAAGCAATCCGCCGCCTCTACAACACAAGTTCAGTCCCCCGCTGGCCAGGGAGCTAACCCACATGGCAGGCAGACCTCTCCTGTCTCGCCCGCTGCTCCCCTCAGCAGTGTATTTTGTCAGTCTGCCTGTTCTGCTCCCCGCTTTGTCTCTGGTGAATCCTCTCAGCCCCCGCACCTCTGGCCTGTACCCCTGTTCTTGTGTATAAATAAATAATAAATAAATAAATAAATAAATTTTTAAATTTATTTAAAAAATTAGAAGACATTTTGCTAAGAGTGGCAATGGGTGAACTCACTCATTTGCAAAGAAAGGGCTCTTCAGTGTTCCCTTTACCATTCTTTTAACTTTCTGCACATAAAGATCTCTTTTTTTTTAATATTTATTTATTTATGCATACAAGAACTGAGGTACAGACCAGAGGAGTGTGGGAGGGTGAGGGGAGAGTAAGGATTCACCAGAGACAGAATGGGGAACAGAACAGGCAGACTGACTGAGATACACTGCTGAGGGGAGCAGCAAGCGAGGCAGAAGAGGTCTGCTGCACAGTGTGGGTAGCTCCCTGGCTGGCTGGGAGTGCTGCAGTGACTGCGGATAGCTTCATAGTGCTGTGCTTAACCCCTTGCACCAACAGGGAGGCCCTATGAAGATGTTTTACACTGCAGAAGATGGTCCTAAAATAGAGCTTAAAATACATTTGTAAATCAGGAAAGTAATCTAATTTACTAAGAAATTCTGCTGGGATAACACCCATATTAAATCATCACAGGGAAAATCTATAGGTCAATCAGAGCAAAGAGAACAATTTGAAACCCCAATGTTTACCTGATGAACAAATATCATACAATAGGACTTAAAAGAACAAATGATCAAACTTGTTGTTATTGAAGCTAGGGAACCTTTGATTCAACCATTATGAAAATTTGCTTGGTATTATATAAGAACTCTAAAACTACCCATACACTTTGACCCAGTTATTTTGAGGGTATATGCCCATAAAAGAATAACCCAAATGAAAAACATTACAAATACAAAGATGTTATAGCTCTTCTTTTATACAGATGTTAAAAATCTTTAATTTTTTAATTTGAATTTTTTCTACATACAATAAAGAAATTATAGTTCTTTTATTTTAAGAGCCTTCCACTTACCAGGCATTGTGCTGAGCACTAGGGATACTAGAGAATACAAGACATAGTTCCTGCTTTCAGGTGTCCAAGGTCAGGTCTTAAGAAATTGGGCAAACAGATATCTTGACATTAGTGCAAATGAAGAGGAGTGAAGGGATTTGAGAAAGCTATAGAAATTGTTTGACCCATGAGGGAGAATGAGAGAAGGAGAAAATAAAATATACACAGTACATATAATTTATAAACAACTCAAGGGCCTCCCTAGTGGCTCAGGGGTTAAGTCTCAGTGCTGTCAAGCTGTCACCAGCCACTGCTGTGTGAATTCCATCCTGGCCAGGGAGCTAAATCACATGGCTCAGCAGACCTCTCCTGTCTCATCCATTGCTCCTCTCAGCAGTGTATTTTGGTAGTTCTGCGTGTTCTGCTCCCCACTCTGCCTCTCACCCCCCTAAACACACACACCTCTGGCCTAGATCCCAGTTTTTGTATGCATAAATAAATAAAATATATCTTTAAAAAAAAAAAAAAAAGCTATAACTGGAGAGCAGTATGTCCTAAAAAAAAGAAAATGTTAAAACAATTCAAATATATAACACTGACAGGAACCTGGTAAATTATATAAGCCACTGTGATTCTTCTTTTTCTTCCTTTGAAATATAAGTGGATTATTCTCAATGTGTGTCTTAAAGTATACAAGTGGAGAAAAAGCTGGATACCAAATATGTACACCTTAATAAAAAGTAAAGTTGTATGCTAGTACGTTGGCTTTTTAAAAAAGGAATTGTAAGAGAAATTAGAAGTTTTGATATAAATTTTTTCTCTTTTCAAAAGTTGCTAAAGTTATTAATTTTAAAACAATAGCTTTTCTATAACTGTCATGAGACAGGATACTATGCAGATTAATTTTATAAACAATCACTGTGATTTCATATGTGGAAAAAAGGAAGTGGATCATTTGAATTTTATTTCATAATTTGAACCCACTGTTGCAGAAAGAAGCATTTTGAAAGTTACGGAGTTTTATTCTGAATCTCAGTAGTTTTCAGAACCTAAAAGAGTTTTGTAGTTTATCACTATGAAAACTAGAAGATGTATATCTGGGAAATTAGAAATTATCTTCATTCAGGAAAGAAACGTGGTCCATTGAATCCTCTCACCAGAAATAAAATTGACAATTGTTATTGTTTTCTTATTTCAGAATTAAAATATTAGAGATGTTTAACACTCATAATCTCCAATCTGTGTTCTCTCGGCTCATTGAACCTCCACACTCTGATTCTCTCCGTGCCTCAAAAATACGGTTACGAGACTTGGGAGCATTAACTTCAGATGAAAAGCTAACCCCTCTGGGGTATCACTTGGCCTCTCTGCCCGTGGATGTGAGAATTGGCAAACTGATGCTGTTTGGGTCTATCTTCCGCTGTTTGGACCCTGCTCTCACTATTGCTGCCAGTTTGGCCTTCAAGTCTCCTTTTGTAAGTGAAGAATATTTCATCTAAACTGGAGCTCATAGTTCTCTGAGGGGACCTGGCTGATGTCTTTACTTCATGTGTGTGTTTAGGAGCAGTGAGAGTTAAGTTCTCTGACAATTTTACAAATTTGTGGAGAAAAGGAAAACCTGTAAACATTAATAGAAATAGGAACAAAACATTAATTATAGGCATGGAAGTTGAGGAGATGGAAGTTTAAGTAATGAATAAGAATTTGTAAGGAAAGGCTATCACAAAGTTAACAGGATTTTAGGTTTTAGATCTAGCTTTGAGAATGGGTGGTTCTTTGGCGACATCTTGTCAGCTGGAACTGAAAGACTCAGTTTATTTTGGATGTGCAGACAGACTCAGACAAATAAGACTATTAACTGGCCACTTACCATCACAACTGTCTTTAATCAGCCTCTCCTCCCAGCTACACACAGAACTTTCCCAGGGCACCTGGTTTCAGCAGGAAGAAAATGCCATTTGAAACACCAAATAAAATGTGTCCTTCAAACTTGTTTTTCCTCTTTCAGGTATCTCCCTGGGATAAAAAAGAGGAAGCGAACCAGAAAAAGCTAGAATTTGCATTTGCAAACAGTGATTATCTGGCCCTTCTACGAGCCTATAAGGTAAGTATATCATCTAATAACTGAGGTTTATTATCAGAGTTGGCACTAATGACAGAATCAGTTCATTTTGATTTTCTCTATACTTTAGGGATGGCAGCTGAGTACAAGAGAAGGCATGCGTGCAAGTTATAATTACTGTAGACAGAACTTCTTGTCAGGAAGAGTTCTTCAGGTGAGTGGTTTCTGTGGCAATTTGTTTTCATCATTTTCAATTGTAGTAGCTCACCAGCGGTGTTGCAACTTCATCTTGGCTTGTCCTGTGTTGACACTGAAAATGTTATTTCTGGAATATGCTTGACTTCACCAGTTATGTAAATCAGATTCCTGAGCTATGACATCAGACCTTCTATGCTGAACTTTTCAACTGAACCATGTTTTCTGCTTTTCAGTGAGTGTGTTTACTGATGATAGGGACATACAAGAAGATACTGGAAGTCAGTTTTTTTCAGTATATTATTCTGGTTAACCTGGATCTAAAAATCCCTGAAAAGATAGGCAAAATCATATGCGTACAGCTATGTGCATTGTTCTGGAGAAAGGGATCCTAGCTCGAGAAGCCCCCAGCCCCTTACCTTCCCCCAAAACCAAATAAGAATACCAAAGAAATTTTCTTCATTAATTTTCCTTGTGTCCATTAGAAACTATGTCAGTAACGAGTACCCAAGAAAGAGAAAAGTTTATTACCTACGTCTAAGAATAGCCAGGACCCTGTTCTGCTGCAACCGGTTTTAGGCCCCCTTCCAAAGTGGCATGAGAAGCCGGAATAACAAGGTGCACGTCTTTGCAGAGCATGTGTTTTATTCAAAGATTTTAATCCAGATAGCGGGAAAGGGCTTTATTATCATATTGAAAGATGTCCTGGAGTAGAACACAAAATTAATTTTCTTAGTACTTAACCACTACCTGAGACACATTTATCTCTCTGTTCCAAAAGCTCCATCAAAACTGAGACCCTGTCTATTTTGCTCAACACTATCTCCAGTGCCTGGAACAGTGCTAAGCGTATAGAGTTGTCACTCAGCAAAGATTCATTGAATAAATACATGAGTGAGTAAGTGAGTTCAGTTTTTAAGACGAAGAGATCTCGAAAACCAGTATGTGCCTTCATTCTCCTCTGCCTCTACATGTGCTGCAGTGAGACATTTTCAGAAGACAGAGTCTGTAGCTTTATTCTAAGTACATCAAAAACAATAATTTTCAATCCTGGCTGTATATAAGATTCACCAAAATTGACTTAAAAAAAAAAGTAAAATGCCCAGTTCCTACTCTGGGCCATTTACATCTCGCTCTCTAAAGGTGGGACCTGGGCATCTTAGTTGTTGGGTTATTTTAGGTGTTCCTGATATGTAGCCATGGTTGAGAGCCACTGGTCTAAAGGGTATTTTATATGTAATAAAATAATAAATGCAGTAATAAATATTTCCTTGCATTAAGATTTTTAAGGGTCAAGTGGAATTATTTATTTTTAATTTTATTTCTAACTAAACTTACTCTTTTTGTTAAAATAGGTAGATTTTGTTGTCATCTATGAGGTCCATCAGACAAAGTCCTCTTTTCACTGTACTCTAGCATAGATTGTCACATTATTCTTATTAAAACATTAATTAAAATCTTGTCATGAAATAAAACTTGGCACATTTAACTGCTAGTTATATTTTGCCATGTACACTTAAGACAATCCCAGACAATACTAAAGTTTCAAGAGACAGTGACATTGCTTAGTTTATAGTTCCTTTGATTGTCATTGTCTGATATACAGCCTGTATTTGAACTGAAACCACAAGAGACAGAAGGTTGTGCTTTTCTTTCTCACACTTGTGCGCAGCTACAAAAAGGGATCTTTAAATCTAAAGCACTTAATAATGTCCCTATTCCTAGGGGAAAATGTGTGCCAGCGAGACTACAAGGTAAGAGAAAGAGAGAAAGTTCTGCTGAGAAAGAGAGAAAGTTCTATGTCCATTGAGAGAGAACACTAACCACTCTTGGCTCCGATAAGGCACCGAGGGGACCTGAACAGAAATGCAAACAGGAAAAACTAGACCGCGTTTTGAACTGGTGTTCCGAAAAGTAAATTGCATCTTTGGCTGTTCTAAGAATGTCCAGGAAAATCACTTGCCCAAAATCCAATGAATGTGTTTTTTAAATGTAATCTAGAGTTAAAGAAATCATCTTTGGGTTTTCTGAAATTTCTATATTTCTGGGTAACTGTTTCACTCTGTCTACTGGTTTGCATAAGGGAAAACTGCCCTTTGGGAAAGATCACCTTTGATGAGCCCATATGAGCCGCATCACTATTTGAGTTTTTTAAGTCATTGCTATTGTAAGACTTTACACTAATCTTTGATGTGTTAAAGTCTCTGCATAAAGATCTCTTCCACTTCTTTCAGGAAATGGCCAGCCTTAAACGACAATTCACTGAACTGTTGTCTGACATCGGGTTTGTAAAAGAGGGACTCAGAGCAAGGGAAATTGAGAAAAGGGCCCAAGGAGGAGACGGGATCTTGGATGCCACAGGAGAGGAGGTAAAAAAAATGTGTAGTTAGTTCTTATTTATATTTAATGTAGCACCTGAATAATAATATATCAACTCAGGAACACTTACAGGCATTCTTCTTCACTTAAGCCCTATGAGCAGCGGGGTGGTGACATTCTTGATTTCCTTCTTTCCACAAATAGGTGTCAACTGACACTTGTAAAAATAGGAGGGTTTTCTATTTGTTGCTACTGTTTTGCTTTTTAAATTTCACAATTGTTCTTGATAAATCCTTAAGAGGTTGAATAGACTTTCTATTAATGCCTTCTTAAATGAGACCAGCCTTTTTTTTTTTTTTTTTTTAATGCATACAAGAGCTGGGGTGTAGGCCAGAGGTGTGGGGGGGTGGTAAGAAGATTCACCAGAGACAGAGTGGGGAGCAGAACGTTGGAATGACTGAAATATACTCCTAAGGGCAAGACAGGAGAGATCTGCTGAGCCATGTGGGTTAGCTCCCTGGCCAGGGTCAAACTCGTGCTGCAGTAGCTGCTGATAGATTCATAGTGCTGAGACTTAACCCCTTGTGCCATCAGGGAGGCCCAGATAAGAACAGCTTTATTCTAAGCAATAATAGGTGTTTTGTTTTTTTAAGATTTATTCATTCATGCATACAAGAACTGGGGTACAGGTCAGAGGTGTGGGGGGGTGAGAGATTCACCAGAGACAGAGTGGGGAACGGAACAGGCAGTCTGACCAAAATACACTGCTGAGGGAAGCAGCAGGCGAGTCTGCTGGAGAGGTCTGCAGGAGAGGTCTGCTGCACCATGTGGGTATCTCCTTGGCGGGGGATCAAACTCGTGCTGCAGTGGCTGTGGATAGCTTCATAGTTTGTGTCTCAACCCCTTGCACTACCAGGGGGGCCCATGATAGGTTTTTTATAGAACTGTAGGAAGAATACTTCTTCAAGATGGACCTGATGCCATGCTGTTCAAAGGGCAGTTGATACTTCCTCAAATTTGGGAACGTCTCATGAATAAGAACCTTTAGCTGTTGGAACACTGACTTTGTAACAGCTTTGCAGAGATTTGGGGGTAATTGTGGGTTTCTTAGATTGGATCCTAGGTGAATGTGTCCAGTAGATTTATTTTTTACTTAGAAAGAAATAATTTTTCAGCAAGGAGATAGAAATTAGATGCTTTGATTTTTGTTTAAGGTAGAAATCAAGTGAAATGTAATGGTAAATTCCAGAGCCAAACTGAAGTTACCACATTACTTATAAAATTAATACTGTATTTTTCTCATAGGCAAACTCAAATGCTGAGAATCCCAAGCTGATATCAGCGATGCTGTGTGCTGCTCTGTATCCTAATGTAGTGCAGGTAACAAAACACTTTTGCCAGGATCTTCCTGCTTTTGTTTGATTTTAGCCAAGGGATATAAATTAAGACATGCATATTAATCATCTTAAAGAGATGCACACGCACATGCTCATGCAGCCTTTTAAACTTAGTACACATTTCCAGTCCTTTAATTCCCCAGTTCGGTTTAGACATTTAAGAATATATTTATTGGGCCTCCCCCGTGGCGCAGCGGTTGAGCGCTGGGTTGCGAAGCTGCCCGCAGCCTCTGCAGAGCAGGTTCGATCCCCGGCTGCTCCCCGGCCACCAGAGGAGGGTCCCACATGGCGCGCAGACCTCTCCTGCCGCCCGCTGCTCCCCTCAGCAGTGTACTTCGGTCCTTCTGCCTGCTCTGCTCCCCGCTCTGGCTCTGGTGAATTCTCTCACCCTCCCGCGCTTCTGACTGTACCCAGTGCATGTATAAACAAAAACAAAAACAAACAAACAAATAAATAAAATAAAACATGCCTCTAAAAAAAAAAAAAAAAAAAAGAATATATTTATTGTTTATATTGAGGTGGCTCCTTTATCCTTCTGATAAATTATGACATTATAGAAATTAAAATGGACATAAATGTCACTCTGTCAGCCAACCTGTGCATAACTAATCTTCTATATTAAACAGAGATTTGATTCTACTAGTTTCCCTTATACCCGCCACTTTGGACTAAAATTAGATAAGAACAAAATCTAACAATCAGTGCTTTGCCTTGGCCAGACTTCTGGAACCCCTATTGAAATGTGCTGCTGGACTTTTATCCGAATTTTGATTATATGGTTCTTACCAAACTCAGAAAGAATTTGAATTTGTCAGAGTATTGAATTATTTCACATTTAACTTTTTTTTTTTTTTTTAAAGATTTATTTTATTTATTTATACAAGCACTGGGTGCAGTCAGAAGCGCGGGAGGGTGAGAGAATTCACCAGAGCCAGAGCGGGGAGCAGTGCAGGCAGAAGGACCGAAGTACACTGCTGAGGGGAGCAGCGGGCGGCAGGAGAGGTCTGCGCGCCATGTGGGACCCTCCTCCGGTGGCCGGGGAGCAGCCGGGGATCGAACCGGCGCTGCAGAGGCAGCGGGCAGCTTCGCAACCCAGCGCTCAACCGCTGCACCACTGGGGAGGCCCTTCACATTTAACTTTTTGTTAAATTAATTGAAAATTAATCTTCTTATTAATTTTTGACTCATGTTCACCTTAGTACTTGCATAATTTTCAAATAATTTGAAATTTTACTTTAAAAAATCATTTGGAGTAAAACTATGAAAAAGGTAAGAAAAGAATCAGATTGGAGGGGATGAACGTAAAGCACAGATTTTTTAGGGCAGTGGAAATATTCTGTGATACCATCATGGATATATATCATAATTGTGCCCATTCCCATAGAATGTACAACACAAAGAGTTAAACCCTAAGGTAAACCATGGACTTGGAGTGATTATGATATGACAATACTTATAATACTGGTCCTATCATAAAATCCCAGAAATGAACATTCTCACTCATGGTGGATATATGGATACACCCTGACTAGATAACATTTTCATTTCTAAGAATTTCTTACTATGAAATAATTGTTTATGTGTTATAAAGTCAGAACTAGCAGCATTTTCATTCAAGCACTGTTAAAATTGCATGCAATCTAAAATTCCAATAATAGGGAATTTATTGGTAAAATTATTATAAATCCTTACAACAAAGTACTATATGGCCATTGAGAATTGTCTTAGGAAACTGTCTAATGTGGAAACATTCTCTATATATTGTTTCAAAAGTAGGTTATAGAAAAGATATTTCAAACATGTATTTGGGTTTATGTGTTTCTGGTTTTCTCTATTTCAGTATGTAAATCTAGCAGAGAAAACTAAACTGATGCTTATCAAATACCAATGCTAGTTATTTTTAATCATGAATTATAGGAGATCTTTATTTTATTTTTTTCTAATATGTTATTGTCCATAGTAAACATGCTGTTTTTGCATTACATATATAATCCATACATAAGTGTGTGCGCAGCTTCTCTCTTTTTTTTCCAAATGAAATAATCTGTCCATTTATAAATTTTTATTCCGCTGTGTTTTGAAAGACATTTATTATTGGAAGTTATTCACTTGGGATTGGGATTGATAGCAATGTTCTGGTCGAGTGTTGCCAGCTGGATCGCAGTACCTGTTAATCAGTAGAGACCTGAAAGATCAGCAGAGTTTCTCTCCTTTGTGGCTGCTATGCAGTATAGCCACCCAGAGCTGTTCCTATATCCACACTGTTTAGTGATTTAAAAAAAAAAAAAAAAAAAAGTGTTCTTATTTTCAAAAAGAAACAGGGAGGGAAGAAACAGCAATGACATACAGCCAATGCACGCTTTGTACCAAGGTATACGTCCTACAATGGAAATATACATGTTATACATCTGTTTTTGCAAATACCTGTTGTTTAGGTGAAAAGCCCAGAAGGGAAATTTCAGAAAACCAGTACTGGAGCTGTCAGAATGCAGCCAAAATCAGATGAATTGAAGTTTGTCACCAAGAACGATGGATACGTGCACATTCACCCTTCATCAGTGAACTATCAGGTCAGAATAGCAGGATGTACTTCGATTTACATGTGGCAAGTCCCCAGTTGAGAAACAAAGGCCCTTAAATTTAGCTAAACTTTGTTCTATCACTTGCTATCTACAGCAGCGCTGCTGACTTTGAGAAGGTTGAATCAACATAAATAGACTAGAAATTGGAGTGTTTCTGGAAAGGTTATTTCCATTTCAAGAAAATTCTACTGGGTATGAAAAAATGCTCAAGCCTGTTTTGAGTATAAAATTATTTCTTTGCAATGGTGATTTAAGAAATCATGATGTAATTACATCATTGACTCTATGCTTAAAAGGGAATGAATGACCTCTACTTGCTGATCCAACTTCCTCAGCTTCAGCCTGCTGCTGTGAGGCTACTGCCCCCAACCTCCACTTAAATTCATCAGAAATTACAAGTAACCTCCTAGTTGTCAAATCCATCACACTTGGCTCTTACATAGTATTTACTGATTTTCCTTCCTCTTGACATTATCTTTGTTTTTTTTTTTTAATTTATTTTTATTTATTTATGCATACAAAAATTGGGGTCTACGCCAGAGGTACGGGGAGTGAGAAGATTCACCAGAGACAGATCGGGGAGTATAACAGGTAAATTCTCTGAAATACACTGCTGAGGGGAGCAGCAGGTAAAGACAGGAGAGGTCTGCTGCACCCTGTGGGTTAGTTCCTTGGCTGGAGATCGAACTCATGTCACAGTGGCTGGCGATAGCTTGATAGCACTGAGACTTAACCCCTGCGCCACCAGGGAGGCCCTATTTTTAATTTTTTTGGCCTCTGAAACATTTCCCACAGTCTAATAGCTTCCCTTCCTTTGTTCTGAGATAATGGTTCTATCCTTAGTCCTTATCTTCTCTCTATCATGGGCATATTCTTCCTAACCTACCAGAAGACAATAGTGTAGCTCTAACTGCCACCTGCATGCTCACACAAGACCCCAAGTCTCTCCTTCTAGTCCTGGGAGATTTTCTGATTTCTTCTGCCTTCCAGTCCCTCAGATGCAAAATCTCCCAATTCACTCTCTTTCTGTGATCCCTGTATTGGTGAATGATATGATCCAGATCAAAACCAAGAGTCACATAGACCCTGCTTCTTTTCTCCTTACTCCATTCTAATTAGTTACTAGCATTTCCACCTTTAGACATCTCATATTCACCTGCTCCTCTTATCTCCATTGCCACTTCCTTCCAATTCAAACCCCAAATGTCTACCACTTGCCTGGAGTGTCATAATAACCTCACTTCTGGTGCTTTCTCTCTACAAACTTTTATACTGCTGCTGCCAGTACTATTTTTACCAAAGATATATTTGATCATGTCATTCCCTTGCTTAAAATTCTCCATATATGGAGTCCACAGCCAACTCTCATATGACCCTTCATGTCTCAGCCTTTCTTATACCATGCCCTTCTGGCATTCTATATGCTCCTGTAAGTCCAGACTGCCAACAATATTCCCTGTTCTCTGTGTCTGGAATTACATTCGTATTTCTCAGCAAGCTCCTACTTATCTTTCAAACTTCCATGAAAAATCACTTCCTTGAGCCTCCCTGGTAGAGCCTCCGTGATAGCGCTCAGAGCTATCAAGTGCTATCAAGCTGCCGGCAGCCACTCCAGCACGAGTTTGATACTTTGCCAGGGAGCTAACTCACATATGGTGCAGCAGACCTCTCCTGTCTCGCCCACTGCTCCCCCTCAGCAGTGTATTTCAGTCAATCTGCCTGTTCTGCTCCCCACTCTGTCTCTGGTGAGTCCTCTCAACCCCCGCACATCTGGCCTATACCCTAGTTCTTATATGCATAAATAAATAAATAGATCTTTTTAAAAAGAAAATCACTTCCTTAGTGTACTCTCCCTCTAAGTTGCTCGTTCCTTCCACTGTTCCATCATCATAGAGTGTACATTTGTGCATCACGCTCTTATCATATTATTTTATGGTTTATGGCGTGTCTCTTTCATGCAATTGTGAAATCCCTTAAGATAGGAGTTGAATTTTATTCATTTTTACATTCTTAATGTCCAGATTGTGCCTAGATGAAAGGTGATGTTCAGTAACCTTTTTAGGAGAAATAAAGGAGTAAAAGAGAAAAAAAGACTGGAAGAAGAGAAGTGAGCCAAGTGTCAGCCAAGTGAGAAAAGGTTCTCCCGAAGATCAGAGGATTTTAAGGACAGAGGTCATCTGTTGTCCCAGCTTCGTGTATATTTATGAATCAGAGTCCTGAGTCTGAGTCTTTTCTGAATCTGACTTGTAGACAGTGAATCCCGTCCCATGCATCCATTTAGTATCTATTCACACCTCTTCTGTGCCTGGCACTGTTGTAGGTCCTGGGGGACAGCCAATAGATATACGAGGTCTCTGCCCTCAGGGAGTTAATGTTCTGGTGGGGAAGTTCATGTAGTGAGATCCTACATGAAGTAAAGGGTGAGGCTTGTAAATATCTGAGGAAAGAACATTCCAGCAGAGAAAATAAGTGCAAAGACTGTAAGATAGACAATATTTCACATATTCCAGAAAATGCAAGGAGGTGGCAGTGTATGTGGAGGGGGTGATTAGGGACGGGAGTTGGGACAAGCAGCCAGGGGTCAAACTGTGTAGGACTCAGCAGGCCATGGTAAGGAATTTATTTTATCCTTGGGAAATCATTAAAGGTTTTTGAGCCCTCACTGGGTTTATGTCTTTAAGAGGTCATAGTGACTGCTCTGTAGAAAAGAGCCCATCAAGATGTCAAAACAGAAGCAGGATAAGCACTTAGAAAGCCATTGTCGTGATCTATGTGAGATGATGGTGATTTGTACTAAGGTGGTAGCTGTAGAAGTGGTGAGAATTTGTCACCTCATTTCATGTTTTAAAAATAGAGCTGACAGGATTTAGTGATGATATAGATGGAGTGAGAGAAAAAGAGCAATCAAGGACGGCTCCTAAATGTGGTGCTTGAGCAGCTGGGTGAATGGGAGAATCATTTCCTGAGATGGTAAACATAGTAGGATGAGGAAAATAAAGAATTTCTCTTCGATACAGAAGTTTGAGGTGCTTAGGTGTCAGTGGAGACATCAAGCAGGCAGTTGCACATACAGACCTGGAGCTCAGGGGAAAGGTACAGGCTGGAAATGATTTGGGGAGTCATTGGACGGGGGTATTTAAGTCCCTGGGGCAAGTGAGCTTCCCTTTCTTTGCCAGTGACATCACACTGTCATCCTTTTACATTCCAGGTCAGACACTATGACAGCCCCTACCTAGTGTACCACGAGAAGATCAAAACTAGTCGGGTGTTCATCCGAGACTGCAGCATGGTGTCTGTTTACCCACTGGTCTTGTTTGGTGGAGGCCAAGTGAATGTGCAGCTTCAAAGGGGAGAGTTTGTTGTATCTTTGGATGATGGTTGGATCCGTTTTGCAGCCGCTTCCCATCAGGTAGGTTTGGATCCTCAGTCTGTGCTCTAAGACAAAGGCCATGAGGGGTTTTGACATTCCTTTAGGAGCCTAGGATCACAGAGCTAATTGAGAGTGAACAGTGGGTCTGCAGTGGGACTCAAGAGAAAAGGAGGCTGGAGTGAGCCTGGAGGTGGGACCTAAGAGTTCTGGGAAGCCCAAGATGGGTGGGTGTGAAAGGTTCAGGACACTGAGTGACGTGTGACCTTACTAATTGTCACAAAAATTAGTTTATGTTAACCAAAGAAAAATCAGAAAGTACAGGTGAACAAAAATAAATAAAAAGCACCGTGATTCCACCACTACCATTAAAAACATAATAAAAAACATAATGGGTCTATTTTCCTTTTATTGTCAGGACTCAATTATTCACTGTATGGAGTCTCTGGAGAAAACATTTAGGGGGAGTATATATTGGTAGGAAATAAAAATTCACTTTCACATTTGCATCTGTTTGAAATCTTATGTCACAAGAAGAAATACCAACTCAAACATTATATGGAATTTATTGTCATATTTAACTGTAAAGTCGAGAGCAGTACAGTCATACAAAGATGTGAGTCATGTGTGATTTTAATTTTTCTGGTAGCCACATCAAAATTAAAAGAAAGCAATGGGGGGAAATGGTGAAATTAATGTTTTTTTTAACCTAACGTGTCCAAAATATTTTTATTTCAACATGTATTGCTGAAAAAAATTTTGTTTTTTTCACACTAGTCATCAAAATTAGGTGTGTGTTTTATACTCACTTGACATCTCCGTTTGGACCGACCACATACTATGTGGTCATTAAACTGGTGACTTCCTAGGACTGCTATTGCACAAGGTCGAGAGTGCCAAGCAGGTTGCTCTGATTCAACAGCTTAGTGACAAAAGCCTGGCTGACCTTGTGGTAGCAGGGGGACTCCTGGCCTGACCTTAGTGCAACATCATGTGCAGATGGCAGAAAGAAACCTAATTTCCTAAAAGCTCCACGAAATCTCCCTTCCTCACCCATTTCCTATAGCCATGGAATGTCCGGGTTACCTGAGCATTCTGTCTGGCAAGGCGCATGGCGTGAACTTGATTTAGATCAGGGTCCACACTGCGCAGTGGCTAAACCATGGGAGAGGGGCAAAACAAATGTTAGGAAGTATCCACAATGTCACTGCATTGTAAACATAAGCAAAATACTGTAAAAAAAAAAAAGGGGGGGCGTTATCTCGCCCATACACACACAAAAGCATAAAACATATCCACAAACTAAAGACATTTTTTGGGTTTGTTTAATACCTACCACTAATTCCCCATTCTCCATTTTCCTGCTTCTCTTGGAGCAGAAAAAGTTGATCAAGCTTTAATATGGAGAACACTGCATAAAAGCCATACTTCCAAATTTAATCGTTTCTTTAAGTGATATGTGATAGAGGATCCTTTTTTTTTTTTTTTTTTTTTTTTAATTTTCTAGAGGCATGTCTTATTTATTTATTATTTGTTTGTTTGTTTGGTTTATACATGCACTGGGTACAGTCTGAAGCGCGGGAGGGTGAGAGAATTCACCAGAGCCAGAGCGGGGAGCAGAGCAGGCAGAAGGACTGAAGTACACTGCTGAGGGGAGCAGCGGGCGGCAGGAGAGGTCTGCGTGCCATGTGGGACCCTCCTCCGGTGGCCGGGGAGCAGCCGGGGATCGAACCGGCTGCAGAGGCTGCAGGCAGCTTCGCAACCCAGCGCTCAACCGCTGCGCCACCGGGGAGGCCCGAGGATCCTTTTTTTAATGGACTCCATTTATATTATAAAGCAGACATTGAGTGAATGTTCCTATAATTGCATCAAGAATTAGAATGAGGGCCTCCCCGGTGGCGCAGCGGTTGAGCGCTGGGTTGCGAAGCTGCCCGCGGCCTCGGCGGCGCCGGTTCGATCCCCGGCTGCTCCCCGGCCACCAGCGAGGGTCCCACATGGTGCGCAGACCTCTCCTGCCGCCCGCTGCTCCCCTCAGCAGTGTACTTCGGTCCTTCTGCCTGCTCTGCTTCCCGCTCTGGCTCTGGTGAATTCTCTCACCCTCCCGCGCTTCTGACTGTACCCAGTGCATGTATAAACAAAACAAACAAACAAATAAATAAATAAAAACATGCCTCTATAAAAAAAAATAAAAATTTAAAAAAAAAAAAAAAAAAAAAAAAAAAAGAATTAGAATGAGGGCCTCCCCTGGTGGCGCAGCGGTTGAGCGCTGGGCTGCGAAGCTGCCCACAGCCTCTGCAGCGCCAGTTCGATCCCCGGCAACCGGTGAGGGTTCCACATGGTGCGACAGACCTCTCCTGGCCACGCCTGCTGCTTCCCTCAGCAGTATATTTCTTCGGTCTGCCTGTTCTCTTCCCTGCTCTGGCTCTGGTGAATTCTCTCACCCTCCCGCACTTCTTACAGTACCCAGTGCTTGTATAAATAAATCTTTAAAAAAAAAAAAAAAAAAGAATTGGAATGAAACTGTTTAGTCTTTCTACCCCGTCTAATGTAGTTAAAATTTATACCAGAATACTCATTATGATAATCAATGATTATTGGAGCATTTCGTTAAATCACCTCTCATACCTTGTTGGCCCAAGCACTGCTTAATGTACAGCTCTCTTCCTAGGTGGCTGAATTAGTAAAGGAACTTCGCTGCGAACTTGACCAGCTTCTCCAGGACAAGATAAAAAATCCGAGCATAGATCTGTGTACCTGTCCTCGGGGATCCCGGATCATCAGCACAATTGTGAAACTTGTCACCACACAATAAAGAGCAGTCTCAGGAGAGTACCTGCCACTCGCCCACTTCTTGCTGACCTGGGAGATCACAACAGGACCCCTACCTCCGACTGCAGCTCTGTGCTGCTGCTGGCCCTGCTGAGCCAGTCAGGTCTTCACTGCTGTGTCAACTGACACCACATACCTTTAGGGAAATTTCCAGAATAAGTATTTCTTAGAAAGAGGGGCAGACCTAGCACAATTTGGAATGTCAATATGAGACCATCTGAAACCAGCTTGCCTGTCACTGCAACTATCTGGGAAGGCATGAAATTCACCTGATAACATAAAAGTGAGTGTTTAATATAACTCTGTTTTAATCTATGTATTATCTTCTGCTTTTTACTGGGATGAAAAAGGAATATGAGGGGAAATGCCAATTTTTTTTCTGTCATAAAGGCTCAACTCAGAGTCAGAAGGGGGAATCGAAACAAATCATGTGAGCAAAAACTAAATTAAAATATCATTTTAGGCTATTGACTACTGAGTAAACTTGATTTATGAGGTATTTTTATCTTAACTCATTAAATGTCAGCCTAAATAACCAAATTTAATGTGCTCTTATTGGGTATTAAAATATGAATCAGTTTTATTGGCAACATTCTTATTCTTAAAAGCAGAATATATGTTCTGCTGGGTGCCTTCATTCTCTTTAGGTTTTCCTTTTAGGAATCTTTATGATCTCACCCAGACCTAATGGCCACATTTCACAGTGCCCGAAGAGGAATTCAAATGGTGCTCTCAGCACAGGGTTGGCACAGTTGAGATAAAAAAGGCCATACTAGTGCCAGATTTACAAGTATAAAAAGCCTTCCACGAGACTGCTTACTTCCAACCACTACTTAGATTATGGGGCAATAAAAAAATATGAATACACTTACATCCCCCTGAATATTTATCAGTGTGCCCAGGAAGACTCCCATAGAGTGGGTGTTCATCTAGCCCTCAGGTAGTCACCCCAGGTTTCATACTATAGGTAGAATTCAGACTAGTCAATAAAGCCACCACATAAAAGGTGTTCTCTTTTCAAGTATTATTTTAGTTAGGTTTTCAGGAAACCTAGACCAAAATTATCAAGTGTGTTTAAGCTTGAGTGCACTTGAATCCCTTAGACTAAGCAGTATTTTTAAAAGGTATTAATTCATATCATCACTTTAAATGAAAAACTCACATATGCATAGCAGCTGCAGTATCTGGGTTCTGCAATATCTGAGTTTTGACATTGAAACCAAGCTGATGCTATAGGACTGATTAGGCTGGAACCTTGTGATGAAATGGAGAAAACTGCACTAGCCCTTTTAAAAGCGGTTTTGATTCTCAGTGCTAAGGAGGAGCTTGTGCTGCTCCGGCTCCGGCCATCTGTCCGAGGGGACCTGTGGTTTTGCATGTGAGCTTGCGCAGAGCATGTGCTGGGAAGTATTAACAACACGACTTTTCATTCAAAATGCTGAGAAATTGCTCCCTCAGGCAAGCCATTGTGGGGCAAATACAAATGCGCAAATCCTATCATCTTACAGACGTGGCTGCATGTGAAAAAAGGCTGGGAAAACTTGACTGAAGGCACTTAGTAAGAAAATCCTCACACAAATAACTTCTTAGAGTCATCATTAGAATTATGAAGTAGGGTTTATCCCTTTGCAATTAAAGATCAGAATGCAATATAATATTTCAAGATGAAGCTAAATTTCTAAGCCCCAACAAGATCATCAGTATTTAATGTTCATTTTGTGGTGAATTCTGTAAATGGTTTCTTAAATATTTCACTTTTACTGGCATCTAGCTAGAAAACAATATTAATAAACTACTTGCTATAAAATTAGTTTTCACTACTGTTTTGTTACTCTGTTTTAAATGGGAAGTAATTAGAAAATGAAAACATCTAGACATTTCCATAGAGGTGGCCATAGGTTGACAAAGCACTGGCTTTGTCTTCTTCTTCCTTGAGTTCCAGATCTGAATATTTCAGCTGAAGCTCCCTGAGAGGTAATGAACTTTGGTCTTTATCTCGCATTCTGTTATCTGAGCATTTTAATCACATGTTGAAGCACACAGCCTCTGGAACTGGAGGTACATGGTAAGTGTTCTTTATCCTTTCTGGGCTGTGGTCCGAATATGTCCGTAAGAGGTAATGATAAAATAAGATCTTGTGAAAATACCTTTAAAATAAAGCATTCGCATGATTTTCAGATGATGTTCAGATGTGGCCCCAGGCTGGCAGCACCCCCGCTGGTCCTGCGCTCACTGTGGTGGTCTCAGTGGGGCTAAGAGCAGGTGAGCTCAGGCTTCACACTTTGAGGGTAACTTGTGAGTGTCACTCAGTTGCCACATAAATAATGGACCCCTGAGGACAGTAGAATATGCTCGTGCTGCAATTATTATGCTTGCATAAGTCTAAACAGAGGCTGGCTCTTTCCTCCTAAATCACACTGAAATTAAGCATAATTCCTAGGGCTTCTATTCTCTCAAATTGAAGAGGAAAGCTCCCTTAAAATATTTAGCCAGTTAATAACTACAAAGTGAGCCTTTGTTTTCAGAAGTTAGACCTGGGTGATGAAACTGTGTCTGTCCTTATTTGAGTACTCCCAGGGCAGAGCACCTCAGGGAAAAGCATAGAAACAGTATATTTCGCCACAGCATGTTTCAGACTGTTTTAGAAGAACAGGCTTTTCCCAAGTCTTATAGCCTCATAAATGTATGACTATGCAAGGAATGTGTACTCCTGGCATCTAGTGGTTAGAAGCCAGGGGTGCTCCAAAGTATCCTACAATGCACAGTCCATCATCCCTAGTGCCAAGGTAGTGAAAACTGTGTAAAGAAAATGAGATGGGGCCTACCTGGTGGCACAGCAGGTTGAGCACAGCGCTGTGAAGCTGTCCACAGCCTCTGCAGCATGGGTTCGATTCCCAGCCAGCCAGGGAGAACACCACATGGCGTGGCAGACCTCTCCTGTCACACCCACTGCTCCTCTCAGCAGTGCTTTCGGTCCATCTGCCTGTTTTGCTCCCCACTCTGTCTCTGGTGAATCCTCTCGTCCTCCTGCACTTCTGGCCTACACCCCAGCCATTGTATAAATAAAAAATAAATCTTAAAAAAGGAAAGAAAATGAGATGTGCCTCCTCATAAAGTCTAGCTACTACTTACAGATTATGCCCATAGTTGACTTAGAAAATGTAAATATATTTGGACTAATAAAAGTGACATCTCTGCCAAAGGAACTGTAATATAAACACTGTGTGAATAAGAGTTTATGATAACAAAATTATATATACAAATGGGGAAGACCAGGCACAGATGGGTATGGATACCTTTACTTTAAAAACATTTTTCAAAAATGTTTAAAATTTTTCTGTTTTTAAAAAATGACTCATTTTGAAAATGTGAAAATAAGGTTAAACAATGCTTTTTGAAGATATCACTTGCATGTGATAACGAAGACCACTAATACTTTCTACTGAAATCTCAAGTTCTCACTCTTTTAAATAATAAGATGTTTAAAATACATCACACACAGAGAGACACACACACTTTCCTTATCTTTCTGTTATGAAAACAGAGTTCAACCTCATAGACTTTGGTCAATATACTAAAGGGTTTAATTAGGGTTTTAAAAAAAAAGAGGGATGAGAGGGCCTCCCTGGTGGCACAGGTAAAGCCAGTGCTATCAAGCTATCACAGCCACTACAACGTAAGTTAGAGCCCCACCCAGGGAGATAACCCACATGGCGCAGCAGACCTCTCCTGTCTCTCCCTCTGCTCCCCTCAGTAGTGTATTTCACTCAGTCCACCTGTTCTGCTCCCTACTCTGTCTCTGGTGAATCATCTTACCACACCCCCACCCCTCTGGCCTACACCCCAGTTCTTGTGTGCATAAATAAATAAATCTTTTTTTAAAAAAAAGAGGGATGAGAGAGTAAATAGCTCTACAGGTATGTAACTGTAAGACATTTAACATGAAGCCTCATTAGGAACTATAGTCTCTAGGCTCAGTAAAACTGCCCCTAATGTTGAAACTGTTTTAGGATTTGATTATTACTAAGATTACTAGAAACAATGTCAAAGATCTGTCATGCTCTTTATTTTTTTTTAAAGATTTATTTTATTTATTTTATGCATACAAGAGCTGGGGTATAGGCCAGAGGTGCAGGAGGGTGAGAGGATTCACCAGAGAGAGTGGGGAGCAGAACAGGCAGAGTGACTGAAATACACTGCTGAGGGAGCAGCAGGCGAGACAGGAGAGGTCTGCTGCACCATGTGGGTCAGCTCCCTGGCTGGGGATTGACCTCATGCTGCAGTGGCTGGCGATAGCTTGATAGCGCTGTGACTTAACCCCTTGCGCCACCAGGGAAGCCTTGTTATGCTCTTTAAAGAAAGCAGTCTGTGTAAATCAGATCCATGCTATACAGTGGGCACTAAGGGACTATCCTATGTGATGAGAAACTGATCCACTGATTATAGACCCAGCACAATTTCTAATTAGACATTTTTGTTAATGCCACCCTTCTGTCTCTGAAATTCACCTGTGTACTTCCCCCTTAAAACCCCAGCTGTCCCAATTATTTCTAGCCTGTAATCTTTATACCATTCTTTTGTACAGTAAGGATGACTAAAGCTTGATTAATTGAACCATGCGATCTAATTAGTTAACAAGGAGGCCTGTTGTCCCGTTTATAACTAATTTGTGCTACATGGCTACTTTTGAGCCTCATATTTATAAATTGTACTTACTTTATTAAACTTTTGCATTTCAAAAATATCAGTCAGTAAGAAAATATAAGACAAATCACTGGGAGAAAATATTTGCAAATCATAAATCATATAAAGCACTTATATCTAGAATATAGAACTCTCATAATCCCAGTAAGCATACAACTTGGGCAAAATATATGAATACTTCACCAAAGAAGATAGACAAATGATTTAACAAGCACATGAATAGCATCACTAATCATTAAGGACTAGTGAGTCATTAATGACTATTAATGATTAGTTAAGTCATTAAGGACTCAATATCACTAGTCATTAAAGAGTACAAAATAAAACCACAATGAGACACTACTTCCTTCCTAGCCACTAAAATGGCTACTACCAAAGTCACACCACAAGTGCTGGTGAGGATGTGGAGAAATTGGAACTTTCATACATTGTTGAGACAGTGAAATAGTGTAGCACAGGAAAATAGTTTGATGGTTTCTTAAAAAGTCAAACATAAATTTATTATACAACCCAGCAATATAGATGTATTCATGAAGATATTTTTTGCAACATAAATCTATAAAGCAAAAATGTCAAAATTTAGGAAAATGTTTTAGTAAGTTGCTATTCATCAGGATATGTATTGTTTAGATCAAATTATGAAAACTATAGAAATAAACTAGACGCATTAATTACTATTATGTGAAAACTTAATATGCAATAGTATAAGGCATGTACAGGTACAGGAATAATTTTTTAATGTAAGAAAATCCTTTAATATTGTTTGAATAATAAAATCAATTGTATATCAGAGGGCAGAAGATTTAGGTGATGGATGTTTATAGCATAGATTGTGATGATTGTTTCACACATGTACACTTATCCGCAAACTCATCAAGTTGTAAACATTAAATATGTATACCTTTTTATAAGTCAATTATACCTCAATAGTTTGGGTTTTTTTAAGAAGACAATTCTGGGGCCTCCCTGGTGGCCTATTGGTTAAGTGTCAGCACTACCACCTTGAAGGCCCACCACAATGGCCTGCGTTTGATCCCGGGCCAGGGAGCTAACCCACAGGGCACAGCAGATCTCTCCTGTCTTGCCTGCTGCTGCCCTTAACAGTGTATTTCAGTAGATCTGCTGTTCTGTTCCCCACTCTGTCTCTGGTGAATCCTATTACCGCCTGCACCCCAGTTCCTCTATGCATAAATAATCTTTTAAAAAAAAGAATTCTATTTGGCAATAAAACTAAATACTTACTGAAATGATTAGAGCTGGAGGGAAGGGATTATGCTAAGCAAACTAAATGAGAAGAAAAACAAATATCAAATGATTTGTGAGGAATATAGAGAAGACAGACAAAATCAAACCAAAATAAACCCTAGAAATATGGCTGTAAAATTGAGGCTTCCAGATGAGGATGGGAGGTGGAGGAGACCCATTGATCTATGGTGGCTTGGTGCCCTGGTGGTGGCTGTGATGTGGTAACATACATCTCAAGAAGTGTGATCCTATACTCTGAATCATACAGTGTTGTATACCGTTACCACAATAAAAAATAAAATTTTTTAAAGTGTATATGTTGTAATTAGCCTTTCATTGCTCTGATTTCTCTCAAAATTTTGTAACCCTGACAACTACCTGACATTCTAGAAACTACTTCAAAAGGCATAAACTTTCCATTGCTTCTTATCAGATAAAACAATTATTAAAGGATTGTAATTGTTCATTAGTAATTTTTTTAATGCATTAAAAAATCCATTTCAGCCATAACATTTTTAGGAGAAAGTAGAGATTCAGGAAATCAAATGAACATTGGGATAGCAAGAAATCAGTGCAAAGATTGGAAACTGTTCCGAGGAAACCAAAAAAGTCAATGAAAGTCATAACCAGCTTTTTATTTTGAAACTTATTCTTGATACCAACCATGTTCAAAGACTGCCCTGGATACCACTCCAGCTTGTATGGGGCAGAGCCAGCTATGGGGACAAATCGCTCTCGGGAATCTGGAACCAGAGGGATCTCAAACAGGTGAGTTCAAACTCCTGGGGAGAATCTTAACTGAAGAGTTAGGGGGGCACTGGGAGGGGGTACTCCCTAAGCAGGCAGGTTTCTATGGCAAAATTAGATCATTTGCCTTCTCCAGCACTCAGGTTTTGTTTGCAGGCAAATTAAACAATCAGAGGGATTCAGTTACCAAGAAACAGTCTCCTTCCTCAGCTCATTAGTCTGACAGCAAATAATTCTACCAACACCAATGCACCTGTCCCTGGGCTAAAACCCAAGCCAAGTTTCCCACATGGCTTCTCTCTTCTCAAGACCGCCTTCATTTTGTCAGAATTATTTCCATGCTAAATTTAATTTCTTATTCCCCTTCTCTCATTTGCTTTCTGAAGATAGTCCAACATTTGGAGAGTCACAAGAACAAGACCATGTGCTAAATTTTATTTTTAGGATTATGGAACTTCAAAGCTGTGAAGAAAGAGCCTTTTTGCTCCTCCAGTTTCTACACTGCTTTTGCAAGCGTGGCCTGGGAATTGTAGCATCACCTTATCTGCGAATGTGTTAGAAATGAAAATTCCTGGGTCCCAACTCAGTAATGTCTTACAGTCTCTGACTCCAGTGTTTCTTAAAATAGAAGAATTGAGCTACATCCTGTTACTAGACAATGCAGGAAAATAATTTAGCTGTTACCAAACCGCATCACTGACTCCCTAAAGCCTGAATATTTAAAAGTATTATCTTTGCAAAAGTACTAATTCTCTTTTCATATAAGTTCCAAGGGACATACATGAGAGAATGGAAAGAAAGCTCATCTCTTGTGCAAAGACAGGGAGAAGTGGGTGGGGCCTGTCCAGAAGTCTGCCCTCACTCCTGGCAGACCAAGCTAGTTCATGTATGTCCCAGGGCACACTTTTTCTGTAAAGGGACATATTTTCCTGTAAATTAAATCGAATCGTTTCTGTCACAATACTCAGCTCCGCCATTACAGCATGAAAGCAGCCATGAACAATACATAAATCAGTAGGAAGGGTACGTTCCAATAAAGTTTTAGCAAGTGGCAGCAGCAGCTCTATTTGTTCCAGGGACCAGAAGTTTATAGACCCCTGTCCTAGTGAGGGGCTCAGGATTCTAATCTGATGCCACTCGACATGCCCCCGAAAAGACCATCAAGCATGTTAGTGCTTTTTAGTTCAGAACCCTCCATATAGAGTCCTGTCCCCTGACTGGCTTAGAGAGGACCAGCTGCAACGAAGTGGATTTCCTGACTCTTCACTCAGTGAAGCCCAACCTGGGGAATGGCTTCCACAGGCAGTGGCACTACTAGAAGTCCACTAGGCAAAGGAACTGGGTTGAGTTTAACAGGAGAGTACCTGTGCCATCTTTTTCCTCAGAGAGATTTGCCAGTGCTCACTTTCAAGGTCTTGAAAGTTATAAAGATGTCTCAAGATTTTACCAACAGGCAAAATTTTCAAATTTCAACTTGCCAAGAATATATTCTGATTCAAAAAACTATTTCACCATTACACCAATAAATAAGCATTTTAAAACAGACACAGTGGATGCAAGAGATTTAGTCATTTTATATTGAATCTAACATTGCATATTTTCTAAATATACTCCTTGTCTAATAAAAATGGAGGTATATGCCCCATCAAAAGAAGACACTTAAAATTCTGATGTCCCTGTACTAATTTTGTTTTGTCTGAGACCATTCTTCACCCAGCTCACTTAGTAACATTCATAACCCATATCTTTCATTTTCCCAAAACATACATATCATGTGCCTTTAAAGTCCTATAATAAAATGGACTTAACATTCAATACATTGTATTGGAAAAAAAGATATCTTTTCAATCAACACATCTATAGTTCTCAGTCTCTCACTGGGAAGCTGCAAGATGTCCTCGAATAAGATCCTGAACACGGGACAAAATAATCTCATTAGAACTGCTGCAATTTTCTGGACCATATGGGGGGTCTATGGTCAGGACCCCAGCCACACAGAGAGTCCTTTGCAAATCACCCTGTTCAGTGATAGGAATGTGGTTCTTCTCGAGCCATTTCTTTAAGCTGTTCTTTTTCTTTTCCAGATCCTCAGGGTTGTATGCTTTGCAGTCTCCAGACATAAACAAATGCATCAATTTCGCTCTTACTCCATCGTCTCCTTCATTCACAATTTCAACAAACTGCACAGCATGTCCCATAATTCCGGTCACGGACATGCTGCCATCTTCAAGGAAGTTCACGAGGACAATACTTTGGAGGAAAAGTAAGTTCAGAGTAGATTTGCAAAAGAAGAACCTAAAGGTCCATAAAACTATAGGAGAATTTGGAATAAGGCAGTCTACCCCAAAAGGGCGCTAGAATAATAGGGAATATGCTTCCTTGTTTACAATTAATCACCTTGCCACCAATTGTTTTAATTTGTTCAACAAGTATTCACTGAAGGTTCTAAGCATTTGAAACTTTTCTTCAACCTAAAGTTAAATATTGTGAGATGCAATTGAATGCCTTAACTGTGTATTAGAAAAGAAGACAGAGTTTGGATTTAACTTTCAGAGTTAAAATACAGGAACTGAATAATCCCCCTCTAAAGTAGACCAAAGGAAAAAACCCACAAAATTAATGAAATAGAAAACAAGGTCACCAAAGCCAAATTGGTTATTTAAAAAAAAAAAAAAAAGTATATATATATATATATATATATATATATATATATATATCTTACAAGTTCAGCCAAGATTAGTAAAGATTAAAAAAGAAGGCATATACAAATAATATTAGGATTAAGGCAGCAAAGATTAACAGCATAAATATACAGAACAAATTTATGCCCATTAATTTTTTTAAAAGATTTTTAAATTTATGCATGCATGCATGCATGCATGCAAGAACTGGGGTGTAGGCCCAGGTGCGGCGGGGTGAGAGGATTCACCAGAGACAGAGTGGGGAGCAGAAAGGAGGATCTATGGAGATACACTGTTGAGGGAAGCAAAGGGTGAGACAGGAGAGGTCTGCTGCACCGTGTGGGTCAGATCCCTGGCCCGGGGTCAAACTTGTGCTACAGTGGCTGCAGAGAGCTTCATTGTGCTGAGACTTAACTCATTGAGCCACCAAGAGCCCGATACCCATAATTTTGAAACTTAACACAAAACTTTCCAGGAAACATAAATTTCTACTGATTCAAAAAAAGAGAATGTAAATAGTCTTACAATCTTTAATAAGAACTGAGTAACTAGTTTAAAACATTCCCAAGAAGAAAGAGGAAGGGGGAAAGGACTAGACAATTTTACTGGCAAGTTCTGTAAAATTTTCAAGGATCAAACATTTGTAACTAAATTCTTCTAGAGACTACACAAAGGGGATTATGCCTTGTGTAACTAGGCCAACATAGGCTCGATACCCAAAGCACAGAAGAATAGGATTAAAAAATAAAAGTACAAAGCAGGGCCTCCCTGGTGGCACAGGGATTGAAGTCTCAGAGCTATCAAGCTATCACCAGCCACTGCAGCGTGAGTTCAATCTCCAACCAGGGAGCTAACCCACATGGCTCAGCAGACCTCTCCTGTTTCGCCCGCTGCTCCCCTCAGCAGTGTATTTCAGCTTGTTCTACTCCCTACTCTGTCTCTGGTGAATCCTCTCTCACACACCCCCCACTTCTGGCCTATACCACAGTTCTTATATACATAAGTAAATAAAAATTTTTTAAAACCTTAAAAAAAAAAAGTACAAAGTAATCTCACTCATAACAAATGTGACAATCCTAAATAAAATGTTTATGATATGATGTGATATGATGAGAAAACATCACTCAAATTCAAATTGAAAGACATCTACAAAACACTTTACCAGTATTCTTCAAAAGTGTAAAGATCATGAAAAACAAGCAAAGACTGAAAAATTGTCAGATTTGAAAACACTAAGGAGACAATGATTAAACGTAATATGGGATTCTAAGATTGAATCCTGGAACCAAAAAATGGCCATTAGTGGAAAAACTGGTAACATCCAAATAGTTATAGCTTAGTTAATGTTGATTTTAGTTTTGACGAATGTACCATGGTTATATAAGATACCATCATTGGGAAATCTGGGTACACAGCTACCCTGTACTTTCTTTGCAATTTTCTTGTAATCTAAAATCATTCCAAAATAGAAAGTGTATGTTTCTATCAATCCTTTAAAATAGCCTGACAAAAGAGGAATCTGATCCTAATCAAACCTCTAAATATGACTACTGATTTATAGGCTATAAAGAGAAAAAAAGAACTTGTTAAACTAGACCATGAAAATGCAATGAGCGAAATTCAAAATGTGTTCAATTCTATAACTCATGCCCCTGTCTCGTCAACAAATAAATGACATGGAAAACTGAAGAGGGAGAAAGTGCAGAGTTACAGATGAAGATACTTAAGAGATACATCAATCAAACTGATAACCCAATGTAAAAAGATACACTTGAGGCAATCAGGAAAATTGGAATTCAGACAGGGAATTATATTAAAGTTATTCCTTTTGCTAGATGTTATAACGGCATCATGGTTGCATTTATTAGAGTCCTTACCTGATAAGGTTTATACTGAAGCATTTATGAATAAAAGTATATGATGTCTATAATTGGCTTTAAAATATTGGGAAGAGCGGGACTCCCCTGGTGGCGCAGCGGTTGAGCACTGGGCTGCAAAGCTGCCTGCAGCCTCTGCAGCGCCAGTTCGATCCCCGGCTGCCGGTGAGGGTCCCACATGGCGCGCAGACCTCTCCTGCCATGCCCGCTGCTCCCCTCAGCAGTGTATTTCATCACTCTGCCTGTTCTGCTCCCCACTCTGGCTCTGGTGAATTCTCTCACCCTCCCGTGCTTCCGACTGTACCCCAGTGCTTGTATAAATAAATAAACAAATAAATAATAAATCTTTAAAAATAAATAAATAAATAAAATATTTGGAAGAGGGGGTTAAAATTAGTGTTCCTTATACTATTCTCTTCACATTTGTGCATGTTTGAAATTTTCCAATAAAAGTGTAGTAAGAAATGTTCCACTTCTATGAACTTTACTGGTCTGATTAAGGTAACCATAGTTAGAACACTACTCAGATTCAAAGGGTGATGGTGGAGGATTATGGGCGCTTTGGTGTGGTAACATGTGTGAAGAGGTGTGAACCTACACCCCCTAAATTATATACACGGCTGTAAACCGATGTTACCTCAAGTTGTGTGTGTTGTGTTTATCTCAAGTAAATGTACTTGAGGTAACACTGGTTTACATGTTATAAATGTGAGTGAGTGTGGGTATATATATATATATATATATCTCCCTCCCAAAGGTCATTACATTCTGATATGGAAATAATCACCCTTTCGTTTAGTTTGGATATTACATATAGAGAGTAGAAAGGGGGGCATGACTGCAGGAAAGCAGAACCCATACTCACTTGGCAGAGACTGGATCTGTGGTTAAAACCCATCCCGTATACTCCTTCTCGCTGGCAGTCACTCTGACTTCTCTGTACGTGTAATCTTGCCATTCTAAGGGGCCCTTCTTCATCCATTCATTCATGGTTGCCAGCTCGCTAGATCTAAAACAATCACCAGTCTGGGTTAATATAGATGTTGCACACAAGCAAATGTCCTACCCCTGAACTCCATCCTAGGAGTAGAGAATAACTACAGTTGCCTCAAGTTCCAGGCAAAGTTAACATTAACGATTCAGTCTGAAGCATAAAGGGACATCGAGTCGCAGAGGAGCCCAGTCTGAGGCAACAACCGGCGACTTCTCTCTCACCCCAACCCCGCTCCGGACGGCCTTCGCCCTGGCTTTGCACTCCCTTCTGCAGATGCCCAAACTCTTGCTACTCCGGTCTCCTGCGATCAGAGGCGCGCCCTCCACACCACTTTCAGCCTAAACAGAAACGGAGAACTCCTCTGCTCTCCACCCGCTCATCCCCTGGCGGTGTCCCCCTCGAGCCCGGAGCCCCCGGATTTAAGCCAATTTCTTCTTAAAATCTGCTCGGAGGCTCCGCAAACAGGGGGAACGGCCGCTCCAGCTCCAGCTCAGCTTCACTGGCCTCGCCGGCGGCCGCCGGACCTTAGAGCCGCGCTCGCACCCGGCGGTACTTAATGTTTAAAGCGGACCACGGAGGAAAACGCCCGCGGAAGCTCCCCCGGGCGACGGCACCGGCACCCACGCGGCGCGACGGCGCCCGGCTGCGGCGACCCTGGGCCCGGCATGCTCTGCGGCGCGACGTCACTTCCTGCCCGCAGAAGCCCCGGTTCCGGGGTCCGCAGCCTGGGGGCGCCCGGGGCCCCGCACCCCCGCGCCGGGAGGGGTGTGGGCTGGGGCGGGGTGCGGGCAAGGGCCGAAGGTGGTGTGTGATAACCAGCCTCTTTGTTCTCCATTGCCACCACGGACATTTCACAACAAATACTTTTTTTTTTAATAAATACTTAAGAGAAGAAAAAGCTCCTGCCGGCTCTTCGGTAAAAGTAGACAAGGAAATGCATTTTTTTTTTGTTTGTTTTTTGTTGTTGTTGTTGCCAAGGAATCAAGGCACGTGAATTCACTAAATGAAATCTCAGAGGCCTGAGAGCATGAGGTGGAAGTGCTGTGGAGAAGAGAGAGAAAGTCGAGGTATTTCTTGTTTGTTTGGCAATTAAGTTACTCCTCGGTGTGTGTCCAGATGCGGGCCCGCCGGGCTGGCTTGGGTGCACTTTGCTGCCGGGTATGAACGCCCTCTCCCCCGAAGTGGGAGGGAGCGAGAGACTCGCTGCCTCCAGATTTCTGGTCACACAGACACGCCAAAGGATGTCTGGTCACGCATTTAGTTGGCTTCTGGCATAGCCCAGAATTTTTTCCGTATTGTGAGCCTGAAGAATGGTACAAGGTGGTAAATGTTGGCTTCATGCAAATCTGAACATCAAGGGAAATTCACAAAAACTGAATTAGGGGTCTATAAAACCACGATGTAGAAAATACTGAAAATCAGCTTTCCCCTTACTACTTGAGATTTGAGTTTCACATAATCTTTAAAGTATATTGTTTCTTAATTGTGATTTCAGAGTTTTTTTAAAAGATTTATTTATGTATATAAGAGCTGGGGTGCAGGGCGGGTGAGAGGACTCACCAGAGACAGAGTGGGGAACAGAATAGGCAGACTGACTGAAATACACCGCTGAGGGGAGCAGCAGGCTGCAGGAGAGGTCTGCTGCCCCATGTAGGTTAGCTCCCTGGCCAGGAATCGACCTCGTGCTGCAGTAGCAGCACAATGCTTCATAGTGCTTACACATAACCCCTTGGCCACCAGGGAGGCCCCTTATTGTGATTTCAAATAATCTTTCCCACGACCTTCATTCATTGAATAAATGTTTATATGAATGCCATGTTAGTGGATTAAATTGGATTTTGCCAGTTAAATTTCTCTGTAAAACTACAAAGCACTAATATAAATACCAATTGTTATTAGAGTGAGAAAGAAAACATAAACCCGCATAAAAAAAATTCAGTTGAAAAGAGCTACAACCAACTTGTGACGATTGGTTATTTCTATTTCAGGCCTTCTACTGCAAGTGCAGTATGCATATAATTCTACAAGGAGAAGCCAGTCTCAAGCCTAAATTAGACTGGGGCAATTTCCTGCCCCCATAGGTTCTTAGGTGAACTAAACACTTATTCCCATCTGCTAATAACAAGTCACTGATTTCTAAAAGACTGAGCCCAGCCCATTCCCAAATTTAAGCTCTCAGAAAGGTTCTCTTCTGTGGCTGGTCTCCAGAGTTCAGATGGTGCCACTTCCTTTTCCAGGTAAAGCCTTACCCTTGGTCCCTCTGCTTCCACCCTCATACCTGTTGGTGTCCCTTCATGTTTTCTCTTCTGGTACCTTCCTCTCCCTGAGCCGCCTTCCTAACATTATGGAGTGCATTCAGGTTAAGTTCAGGGAGAAATATTTTTAAAGAAACTTTTAAGTGCCCTGAAGAAAATCAGAATTTTACAAAATTGTCAATAGTCATACTGTTCACTGTTCTTTATCATAATGCAAAGATAAATCTGCTCTGCCCTAGGCAAATTATCCCAAATTTCAATTCACTGTGTCAAAAGAATCTGAGTAATTAACAATGGCCTCTTTTGAGCCAGTGAAGCCTGCTCTTGTACACCGCTCACTATGCTTTTACAGCTCTCTAACGTAAATCTCTGAAGGTAGATTGGAAGTCATCTACCTTCTTAGATACCAGTTTTCTCATCTTTAAATAAAAATGTGGAATTAAGTCACCTAAGATCCTGTTAGCCGATAATTTTTTATTAAAGATTTATTTTGTTTATACAAGAGGTGGGGTACGGACCAGAGGCGCGGGAGGGTGAGAGGATTCACCATAGACAGAGCAGGAGGTGGGAGGGGAGCAGAACAGGCAGATGGACCAAAAGCACTGCTGAGGGTAGCAGTTGGCAAGACAGGAGAGGTCTGCTGCACCATGTGGGTATCTCCCTGGCCAGCTGGGGATCGAACCCGCGCTGCAGAGGCTGCAGACAGGTTCACAGTGTTGCACTCAACCCGCTGCGCCATCGGGGAGGCCCAACCAATAATTTTTATGATTAAATATACACAGTGACTTAGTAAACCCTGTCAACCCCCTAAATGTTGGGGCCGTGTTTATTTTATTTACTACTACTATGTGTCCCAGTAGCACAATGTGTATAGTAAGTGCTTAACTTGAATTTTTCTTAAATAGCTAAATAACAACTAATGTGCCCGACATGATTCTAAGAACTTTCAAATAGTAACTCATTTTATGAAGGAATAAACAGACCAAATATGTCATTGTTACGGTGAAACATGATTTTGAATGGATGTAGAAAAATTGGATGTGAGGAAAAGAGAAAAAAATATAGAACATGTTCAGTATGAAATTTTAGATAAAATATAGCCTCTCAAATATTATCGTGGTATTAGGGGTGGAGGGGAAATCTAGAGCCACTTTCCAAATGGAAACTAGTTGAGTTTCCTGCCTTTCCCAGTCCTGTCCTGTCCTGCCCTGCCCTGCTCTGCCCTGCCTTGCCCTGCCCTGCTCTGCCCTGCCCTGCCCTGCCCTGCCTTGCCCTGCCTTCCCCTCCCCTGCCCTGTCCTGTGCAGCTCTGCCCAGATAGAGTTTACAGCCTCAGAGAGGAAGACTGGTTTCCCTAGACTGAAGATGGGATTATTGTCCTCCTGGGCTGAAAATACTTAGAGCACTTTGGGAACTGTAAAGTTCATTTAACAGTCCTTTTCTACCACCTCCTAAAGAAACTTGAAAGTTAAAACTTAACCTTCTATTTCCTCGTAGATTGAAGTGACCACATGAATATTTCTGGCCAATGAAATATAAATGGAAGTCCCCCAGGAATGCTATCCTCTCTGAAATTAAAAGACAAAGACTTTTAGGAAAGAGCATTTTTGTCCCTTGACCACCCCTCCTGTAGATAGCCTGGCTATAGAGACAGTAAACTATTGAAACACCCTCTTGTGTTTTCATCCCAACAAAATCTTTTTCTAATTTATTTCCCTAATAAGATCCTGCTTTATCTTTATATTGAAGTGGAAAATGTCAGGCTGACCTGTTGATTAGCTCAAGTTGGGACATAGCCTGTAGACTGAAAGTTTTAGGGAACAATTGATAAGCACCCTCAAGGCCACACACTGATTCATGCATTCCCAGCAGACTGTACCCCTTGTTTTAGTCAATAAATACTCTGTAACCTAGTTGGCTCAGGGCTCAGACTTTGGAGAGAACTCTCCTCTGGGGTCTCCAGTATTAAGCCCACCAGCATAAAGATCTTCCCTCCTCTCTGAGTGATGCCTGCCTCCCTGATGGAATTCTGCCATAACAGTATCTTCACTGAATAGTGCCTGCATATAGCAAGCATTCAACACATATTTGTTTCATCAGTTAACAAACTGGAAGAAGCTGGGATAAAATACAAAATCATAATGTAGGTAGATTTACTAATGTGACTGAGATAAACTAAGAACCAAAAAATTAACAGGTCGACTTTTAGATTGGCGAAGCAGGTAATAAAGGAATCTTTACTTCTCCAAGACAGTAATTTAATTCTTTGTTAGTAATAGTAGTACTAACAGTAAATGTATATTAACTCACTTAACAGAGAAAAATCACACCTTAGAAACTACTATCCCTATTTTATAGCTAAGGAAACTGAGGCACAAAGGCCCAAGGCCACATAGTTGGTAACTGAGCTAGGATACAAATCCAGGCAATCAGGTCAAAGCCTGCCCTCTAACCACTATATCATACTAATTAAATAATGGGGAATGACTCAAGTACAATTCACCTAAAAGTCTATTTTCAACTTACAGGGAACATGTTTTTCAAAGCAAGCAGTTCTAAATCTGAACTGTTAGTTCCTTACTGTGCTTCTATTGGTTGACTGAACATGCAGAGCTTTAAGGTGTGTTTCACTCATGTGTTTTAGCAAATCAAACTTTCCTAGCAACTTCTATTTCCAGTTGTGACTGCAAGGAAGATACTCTTAGCAGGCAATGGTGTGGACTGGTTTTATCCCTTAAGGAGGTAAAAGAATACTGAACCCCAGGCCTACAGCTGCTGTTTACTCTCAGATTAACTCACTAACAAGGGCAACAGGATAGATGCCAATGGTTTAATTATGTTGAAGAGCTGGTCTTAATAGGAATTACACCTTAGGGAGGGCAACTGAAGGGAGGGCAACTGAAGGGAGGGCTGTGCGGTAACCAAACTCTTCCAGCAGTCTATCCTTTTTTTCCCCATCCACTTGACCGGCCTTCTCGAATTATATTGAAAGGGTTTATAAGTATGTGTTGTGTGGAAGCAGGGCGGTGGGGGGGGATCTCCTTTATCCTATGGTAAATTAGAGAGCCATATTTGGCTTCCTAATGACAAAAGGTAAAATATACCACTGATCACAACGTGAAAAACATCTTAGGTATAAAGAACAAATAAACATTGTATATAATAGAAAAACTATTCTATGAATCTGCTATTCAGTGCATCATAATTTAAAATGTCAGTAATTTTAGTAATGTCAGTCTTTTTTTCTTTCTTTTACCATTTAAATCAACACACTTACAAGACACTACATGCCTAGTGTAGTTATTGTCCCTTTTTCACTTGCCGTTGTATACATTATCTAGCGAGAAGTTAAAAAATAATAGAGTTTTGGAAAATGTTATCTAATGTAATTGACAAATTCATAACATAAAAGAGAGAGCATATTCTACAATATACATCACATGCATTTTCTTTTTCAAGAATGTGCACCACTCCATTTGCCAGTCTAAGACATTCCATTTATAGATATGGACAAGGAAAGAGGGAAAAGTCATGGCCAATTCCTTGCTTATTTGTTATTAGTCAGATTCTTAACAGATGTTTCTTCTTGGATTTCTTCTGCAAAGAAATTACTTTTCTACCTATTAGCTTGCTGATTGTAGATACTTCATTCACAATAAACAAAACCATACTTTGCATCTAAATCACTTTTCTTTGTCTATTTGTTCAAGGGCTATGTGAGCCCTAAACTGGAGTCGAGTTTCCATGGAATAGTCTTTGTAGTTTTTTATATTGTCTAGGTTTTTTGTTGCACTGGTATAATCTCCTTTTAGATAGTATAGAATTCCCAGTTCATAGTAAGTATATGGTATCAAATAGTGATCCCATTTTAACAATTTCTCCTTTTGAATGACACGATGAAAGTACTGCTCAGCCATTGAACATTTGCCTAAGTACTTCAGGCACAGACCTTTCAGGAAGTTTAACAAACTTATGTCATCGGTGCCATATTCATTATTTGGATTTTCTCGTAAAAGTTCTTCTCCTTTGTCAATTATTGACAGCCAGCTTGAGACAAGGTCTAGTTTTTTGCTCATGACTCGGAAACCACTCCAGGCATACATGAATTCCAGAATGGGCTGTGCTGTATACCAGCCTAAAGAAGCACCATAGCGCTGACCCTTTTCAGCAACAAACTTTTCTATTGGCACGGAAGTTCCTAAAAATTTGACTCTAAGGGTGTCCACTTTTAAGAAGAGAGAGTTCACATCCTCATTTACCAATTTCGCAAAATCAGAAGGAAGCAAGATCAGTAGAATAGCCTTACTATATGAATATAGTGCCTTGGACCACCTGCTATGTTGAAACAGGAGAGTAGCATAGTGATAAGCCTGCTTCCAATCTTGCAGAAAAATGTTGCACCACATGAGTTCCCAGTAACAGAGGTGATGAACCTGCCTCCATTCATTCTGAGTACAAATGCACTCCTGTAATTTTAACATTGCATTTTCAAAATTTCCTTTCAGGATACTAAACCGTGCATGAAAAAATTTGAGTATGACACAGTTTGGAAATTTCTGGAGGTAGATTTGGAAGAGATCCTCTACAGCTGAATGGTGACTCTTTTCAATACCAAAAGCAACGTAGATATAATTGTGGTAAAAGAGTAGAGTCAAAACACTTAAGATATTATTAATATGGGATTCAGATGCACTCTCACGAAGCAAAGTCAAACCTATGTCTCTATCACCAGAATATCCAACAATATTGAGTAGTTTAAGAATCTTTGGTGGCACAAGTGATAACAACAAGTTGAATGCTCCAAGTCCAAATTTTATTCCACCAGCCAGTTGTCTATAGGTTTTGCTTTCATTGTTAGGCATCTGTGTTAATACTTGTTGACAGTTTTTGTATATTTGGTAGCTTGACCCAGCACTGAATCCATTTTTAAGATAACTAAGCATACTGTCATCCTGTATAAATGTTACAGTGGATTTCAAGATCAAACACTCAGCATAGCAGACTTCTGCGTGCAATTCCTCTTCTTTGATTGCCTTTATTCCCTGTTTACTCACTGCACGAGAAAAACTCATCATCCGAGATTTTCTTCGGAAGTTGTTACAGGTTTTCAAAGCGTCCTTTGCAGCAGTCATTCCAAGATGGATATCGTGTGGCTCAAAAGTCAAGATAGCCTTAACAACCATCAGGATACCATACATTAGAGCGTGGTAGATGCTGTTTTTTGACCAGGGATAAATGAGATTTATGGCTTCTGAGAATCTGTTATTTAGAAATAAGTACAATGCAGTTGTACATTCTTCTAGGGAAGATAATAGATTCATTGTTGTGGCCGCAGGAATAATTTCATAGGCATCTTCAAACTTGTCTTCCCTGTTGTTTTCTCTTGCACCTAGAGTAAGTGACATATACCGCAAGTTGTTCTCCTTATCATTTTCTCCCTTACTTAGAATAAGTGATGTTAAGTCGTTATCATCATTTTCTTCCTTACTGAGAGTAAGTGACATATTTGCTTCCCAACTTTAGAGATGGGAAATAGCTGAAGTGGATGGATGTGATTGCAACGAGGGCAGCGCCTACTCTCCTGACCAGGCCACGTCTTCCACACAAAGCTCAGCCTCAGATGTTGCTGTTATAATAGAGGCAAACAAATCTAATAGCCGTGAGGTGCAGCATTAGAATATTCTCATCTATGTTAGACAAAGAAAAAAAAAAGATAATTTTATTTACCTAGAAAATGTTCCAAAATTTCAATTTATTTGCAATAACTAAAGAAAACATGATCTTTTAAAACATTGTGAAATCCTAAACAGAAGTTTTCTATAACCATCCCTCCAATATGTCATTTTCAGATTATGCTTTTGTATAAATTGTAGAACTATATACCATGACAGCTATAAAATTTCTCTTTAGGAATGCCTTGTCTGGAAAAGGGTAGGTATATCTTTCTATTAATAGTTAAGACTGAATTGTCCAGAGACACTTCAAATAATAAAGATTATAGAGGTAAAAAATCCATCCATGCTATTCTTAGTACCACCATTATACGTGCATATATTTTTACAGAAAACTAGGACTTGATGACATGTGGTTAGTTATATAGGACTTTAGACATGGAAAGTGTTGTAAACTAGGAAGATTTCCTAGTGTTGTAATTAGAAAAAACATCAAATACAACAACTGTGATCCTAGCATTACTATAGTATCTTAGTGGAAGGTGGGAATGAGGGGTGGCAAAATCAATTAAAAAACCAACCACAAATATCAAGTTACTGAATTTATTCATAATAACACAGTAAGTGCAATTAATCTATTTTTAAGAGCAGCAACAGCAAATATAACACTTCAATAGCAATTATTATAGAGCCTTAAAATAATTATACTTTAAAATGTACTTTAACTCTGCATTTTGATAAAAGAAAGAAGGGGGAGGTAAAGCAGAGGGAAATAACCAAAGGCAAAGAAAGAGAAAAACAGAAGATGCAAATTTTTACATAGATGGAAGAGAAAATAAGGGAAATATGTTACATAGGAGAAAAAAAATCATGAACGTAAGGACTGCCTCCGAGGTATATTTTAGTTAATTGCTTGATTTTACACCTGAAGGTTTAGTTATGTCTTGGCATTAGCAACTATATTCCATTCACATTTATCTGAAAGTTTCAGTTCCGAGGGAGACACCGTACAAACCATTAGGAGGGAAATTATTGTCCGGATTGCAATAGTGGTTGCTAAATTCAGGTTAGCTGGAGAAACCTAGATGAGGGCCAGAAGCAAGCCAAGGATAAAGTTTCCTTCCCTCTGCTCTAATGCTTTCAAATTATATTTCATAGAATCCATATGCCATCTAAGACAGCTCAAATTTTACTTTTTCTGAAACCTTACCTAACATGTCTGTCAGCATAATCATTCTTAATGGCATTCAGCATATATCTCAATGAGTGTTTATCTCACTGCATTGTAATTAGCTGCCCATCTGCTTTCATCACTACTCTGGGAGCCTCAAAGCACGTTTAGTGCTTTATTCAGCAATATATCCCAGTTCTAGTATACTCCCTTGACCAAAGTAGGCATTAATAAATAGTTGTTAAGTGAATTCAGGTGCCCACAACATATTTCTAGGAATTTCTTAAAAGTTGTGAATGCGGGGGCCTCCCTGGTGGCACAAGGGGTTAAGACGCAACCTATGAAGCTATCTGCAGCCACTGCAGCATGAGTTCTATCTTCTGGCCGGCCAGGGGGCAATCCACATGGCATAGCAGACCTTTCCTGACTAGCACACTGCTCCCCTCAGCAGTGTACTTCAGTCAGTCTGTCTGTTCTGTTCCCTGCTCTGTCTCTGATGAATCCTCTCACCCCCCAACACCTCTGGCATGTCCCCCAGCTCTTGTATGCACAAATAAATAAATCTTTTAAAAAAAAAAAAAGTTGTGAATGCAATTGCTAAGTTTTCTACTCCCAAAGAGCACAGAAAGATATAACCATGATTGGGCCTCCCCGGTGGCGCAGCGGATTGAGTGCAGCACTGTGAAGCTGTCTGCAACCTCTGCAGCACGGGTTCGAATCCCAGCCAGCCTGGGAGATTTCCACATGGTGCAGCAGACCTCTCCTGACTATCCCGCTGCTCCCTTCAGCAGTGTATTTCGGTCATCTGCCTGTTCTGCTCCCTGCTCTGTCTCTGGTGAATCCTCTCACCCCTTTCATCTCTGGCCTATACCCCAGCTCTTGTCTAAAATAAATATTTAGGACCTCCCCGGTGGCGCAGCGGTTGAGCACTGGGCTGCAAAGCTGCCCGCACCCTCTGCAGCGCCAGTTCGATCCCCAGCTGACCGGCGAGGGTCCCATATGGCGCGCAGACCTCTCTTGCTGCACCAGCTGCTCCCCTCAGCAGTATATTTCGTTGTTCTGCTCCCCGCTCTGGCTCTGGTGAATTCTCTCACCCGTCCCCACGCTTCTGACTCTACCCAGTGCTTGTATAAATAAATAAATCATTGATAAATAAATAAATAAATAAATAAATGTTTTTAAAAAAACACTCATAAAAAAATTAAAAAAAAAAAACTTGAAAAGAAAAGATATAACCATGATGGGTTCCCTGTATCAATATTTAGTTGCATATTTTTCTCTAGCATTTTTAGATTGGTATTCTGTTTTTACCTACCTCAAGGACCAATACTTTGCATAGTCAATAATGCACACTTTCAGAGATGTTGGGGGAAATTATTCCTTTTCTTTTTTCTCCTGTTTTATTGAGACAAAAATTGTAAGATATTTAAAGTGTACAACATGACTTTTTGGTGAAAACACCTAAATTCTATTTACTTAGTAAATTTTAATTATACAGCGGAGAGTTAACAGCTATAGTCATCATTTATACATTAAGCCCTCAGACCTTATTCATCTCATAACTGAAAGTTTGGTATTCTTTTGTCAACCCCTGTTATCCCCACCACCTATTTTTTTTTTTAAAGATTTATTGATTGATTGATACATACATACAGGCACTGGGTACAGTCAGAAGCGTGGGAGGGTGAGAGAATTCACCAGAGCCAGAGCGGGGAGCAGAGCAGGCAGAAGGACCGAAGTACACTGCTGAGGGGAGCAGCGGGGGGCAGGAGAGGTCTGCTCGCCATGTGGGACCCTCCTCCGGTGGTCGGGGAGCGGCAGGGGAGCAGCTTCGCAACCCAGCGCTCAACCGCTGCGCCACCGGGGAGGCCCCCCACCACCTATTTTTAATATTCCAATAAGGGAACTTTTCTGCTGGAGGAATACTCCTGGTCAGTGGGATGACTTGATTGGGAGTTAATAGAGGAACTGAAAAAATTCTTGCTCTGTACTTTCTGAATTCCTCCCTTTGGAAACACCCTATCCAAAGTCTGAAACCAAAAAACAGGAAGAGTTTGTTTTCTGCTCTCCAGCTGTGCCAGGGACCAGGCAGGGAAATCTGTCTAATTAAGAAGTGAACATATTAGTGAACCCACTTAGCAGCACATCTAAAGTCACAGCAACAGTCAATTTATGAAAAAGGTCATGTTTTCATCTCCTATCTGACACTTGCATCTTTCTTTCTTTGGTTCTGAACTGGAGGAAAAGTGATGTTATTTATTGACCCAAAAACCTTTTCCTCCTTCTACTGTTTCATTTCCTATTTACATGGTTGGTACCATCATCTCCTCTAGACTCTCTTTTTTCTCCTTTCATATCCATCAGTGACCAAACCCTGTCAACCATTTCCTGAGTGAGGTGCCTGTGTTATCCCCCAAATCATTCTGGGCATTATTAATAATAATATCACCAAGGCTATAAAATGTAAAACATACAGACTGTGAAGTTATACTACTTAGGTTTGAATCCTGACTCTGTCCCTTGCTTGGCCTTCCTGTGCCTTTGTTTCCTTATCAGCAAAGGGGAATAATAGTATTTCTACCAAAAAATGATTTGGATAATTAGGTGTATTAATATATATGAAGCAGGCAGGACAACATCTGTATACTCTATCTATCTATCTATCTATCTATCTATCTATCTATCTATCTATCTATCTATCTATCTATCTATCTTATCCTTATAGCCATCCCTACCCCTATGCCTGGCATACAGTAGGTGCTTATTGAATTGTTTTAAATGTGGTTTGGGATGCAGACTGGGTTAGGAAGTGGTCAGAGATGAAGTGATTTCTCAGTTCAAACTTGGAATTCCTCTGTCTCCAAGCCTCCCAATTAAAACAATGATTATAGGAAATTGTAAAAATGCAGAAAAGCAAAACAAGAAATATTTACTTTTATTAATACAGTTTACAAAACCAGAAGCATTCTATGCATGCACACCATTTTGAAATCTGCCTTTCTTTCATTAACATTTTTCTGACATTAAAAATTCTTTTACAATATGGTTAATAGCCATAATATATAATCAATTTATGTGACATATTAAAACAATCCCTTTATGTTTGATGTTCAAGCTATTTCTAGTTTTGAGACATTATTAAAAAGGGTCATAGGAACATTTTAGTACATAAATCTTTTTGCACAGCTATGATTATTGCTAGAATAAAGGAAGTAGGAATGCTGAGCCAAGGAAGCAGGAATGCTGGGCCAAGTATACACACAATCTAATAATTTTAAAACACATTGCCAGATTGATTCTCAAATATTATTTCACATTCCCAATAGTGGGAGTGAGTGCCAATTTCATTACATACCTGACAGACAAAAATAGCATACTTTTTACACTTGGATTTTAGGAACTAGACAGATATGAAAAATAGGGGGGGTTGAAGAGAACAATTGTTTTCCCCAAACAAAGATCTCACATATTTATTACTGAGCCAACCTACTAGGTACAGAAGCATTCAAACAAAGAGAAAAATAATTTCCTAAAGATGTCCAAATAGTGACGTCTTCAGGAAGATAAGGGAAGATGCTAGTGATCTTAACACAGCATTACTGTGTGCCATCTCCTGTGCCATTCACGTTAACAGATCCAGCTTGGTTCTCTTCAATGGCTCCAATTGGAACTGTACCTGACCTTATTACCATTGGGGAGTGGGATGATTCTGCTTTTATTTCTTGGCCAGGAATCACTCCATCCTGAATGCCTCAGGAGAAGATATGGTAAAGAACAGAATCAAGTGCACACAACCCTAATGGTGGAGAAAAGGCAGGATAAAGTTTTTGTTTTGTTTTAAACAAGAAAAATATGTTTAGGGGCCTCCCTGGTGGCCTAGGGGTTAAGTCTCAGCCCTATCACCACTATGGCATAAGGGCTATCCCCTGCCTGGGAGCTAACCCACAAAGGGCACTGCAGATCTCTCCTGTCCTGCCTGCTGCTCCCCTTAGTAGTATTTTTCAATAGATCTGCCTGTTCTGCTCCCCATTCTGTCTCTGGTGAATCCTCTCCCCGCCCCATCTCTGGCCTACACCCCAGCTCTTGTATACATAAATAAATAAAAATAAATCTTAAAAAAACCCCTCAGGCAGTTAATAAATAGTGTAACTCCATAAGCTCTTGTTCTTTATAATAACACTTCACTACCTCTCCTAAGGAAAGGATTTATGAAAATCATTTTTACTAACTTATAATGAAGATATTCATTTCTAGGGACTAGAAGATCAATATCAAAACATCAGACAAAAGGAAGTTAATGGTCTTGAGCAGTGTTTCTGCAGCAAAGTTGAGAGGTTATTAATAAAGTAGGTTCATTAGGTCCATTCCAGGTGTAACTAATTAATGTCTCTGGAATAGGGACTTTGAAATCTGCATCCTTACTAGCATCCCAACTAATTGTTATGCAAATTAAGTTCTTATGCAAAATTGTCTTAAGGATTTCACTTGGAGACAGCTAAAGAAGCATGCCTATTTTACTTAAAGTGCAGCTCTTTAATAATTGGAATATTCCTAGCTCTGAAATGCTCTCCTTTCAAGAACTAAATAAACTAAATCTAAGCTAGCCTAATTCTCAAGTTAAAACATCAGGTCCCTTTCATTAATATTTTTTCCCCCTTAAAGATTTATTTATTTTTATACAAGAGCTGGGGTACAGGCCAGAGGCGTGGGAGGGTAAGAGGATTCACCAGAGACAGAGCAGGTTGCAGAACAGGCAGATGACCGAAATACACTGCTGAGGGGAGCAGCAGGAAAGACAGGAGAGGTTTGCCGTGCCATGTGGGATTCTCGCCGGCCAGCTGGGATCGAACCCTCACTTCAGAGGCTGTGGACAGATTCACAGCGCTGCGCTCAACTCGCTGCACCACCGGAATAATGGATTTAGAACTGGATGGTTTCAGGGTTTTCATCCTTTTTAATACAGCTGGACATTCCTCAGAAAACTTAACTCTTCCAGATTGTTTTATACCCCTAAACCACCCATTGAGGTAATATTTATATCAGTGGGCATCAGATTTTTCCAATTCCTAGTTTCACTCTTTGATGTTGGTGAAAGTACTGGTGTTCTTTAACTCTTCCTGTTTCAACCATCCCACACCCATGCTTTAGTAGTGATTGTTTTCTAGTTGGCTAATGAAAAGTTCATTTCTTATTTTTTTAAGATTTATTTATTTATGCATACAAGAACTGGGGTACAGGCCAGAGGTGTGGGGGGATGAGAGGATTCACCAGAGACAGAGTGGGGAGCAGAACAGGCAGACTGACTGAAATACACTGCTGAGGGGAGCAGCAGGTGAGTCAGGAGAGGTCTGCTGCACCATGTGGGTTGCTCCCTGGCCGGGGATCGAACTCGTGCTGCAGCGGCTGCGGATAGCTTCATAGGTTGCGTCTTAACCCCTTGCGCCACCAGGGAGGCCTGAAAAGTTAATTTCTTTATACTTTATGAAAGTATAAGAATTTTTCTATTCTTTATACAATATGATAGAATTATAAACATGCTAAGGATTTTTCTTCCCCAAACTTCCTTGCAGCATTCCAGAAGATTATGAAATATTGAAAAAAAGAAAAGCTGTATTGAACATAGCGGTTTGGATTGACTTAAAGTATATACATGTACAGCATACACATAAATGCATATTAAAAGACTAGAGTTTGAACACTGTTGTGAGTTGAGGCCCCCTTCCTAAATTAATAATATCAGTGTTTAACAACAGTAACATTAAAAATTACTCAATATTTCCTATTGATAAATATTAGAATATTCACTTAGGTTCACATTCTAATGGAATCTGAGAATGGGATCTTAATTTAACTTAGAATTGTAGAGAGAAAAGTTTATGTGGGTGAAACTTATTTCAAAAGAGACAGCAAGAATAAAAATACTTGTTACAATAAAATATCCCCTGATTTGGATTGACATTTAGAGGAAAGAACTGATTACATGTTCCTAGAGAAAGAGTGTTCAGTATAATAGCGTACGGAAATACACTAATTTTTTTTTTTTTTTCACGGTAACTAGGTTAGCAAAGCTGGGCCTAGAGTTGGCCCTCCTTTAATAGAGATAAATAATTAGCTTATCACAGGCGCTGTCTACTAAAGAGGAAGGCAGATCAGTTGGGGTTTTTGGCTTTTCCTTTAATGTACTGGAAAGCAGTTTGTTAAAAGTTGGAAAACTGCTTCTTTTCATATCATTTACATAATTCTCTTCTTAGAAATTCTCTTTAGTACAAAACACTTTTCAGAGACAAAAATATTTATTGAGGTCTATTAGGAGCGGTACAGAGAATCCGTGCCCTCTTCACCAAGCATCCTTTCTCCCGGACTCTGTAACCCACACGTGTACACACCAAGTGAAGACACACCAGATGAAAAACGAAAATACCTAAACATTCCCTCCTTCCTATGGAATCTTTCCAACCATTGTAGTCCAACTCTTTCTTTTTTGGCTTGCAAAAAAGTTAAATCTGCATTTACAGGTGGCGCGTCTGGCTAATACATCGCATACAATCAAAACTGGATTTTACGTGATTCTAGCGTAAAGAAAACGCTCTCCTCCATTTGCTCTACAGATTGTTGGGGCCGCAAGGCTACTCCTCAGAGACGCCCCCGGAGAGTCCGGGTCCTGGGGACCGGCCCGTCAGAGGATGAGCCGTTGCTGCAACCTGTAGCCGAGAGCAGCAGGAGGCAAACAAAAGTGAATCACTCTGTGCTTCAAATGCAAATAATTTCAGAGGCGCTCCCAGCGAGACGGCTGGCAGTGTCCACGCTCTCGTCACAATGTCAATACGACAGGCGCCCCCGACTTTCCGCCTTGGTCCCCGCGTTTCCACGCTCCCCACCGGGCCGGCGGACCCCGGCGGCTGGTTCCGAAGGGGCGGCCGCGACCCGCAGTCCCCGGGGTAACGCCGCCCGCCGCCCGCCGCCCCCGGGGCGGAGACCGCTGCTCGGAGGCGCCGGGCTCGGGGAGTCTCCCCCGGGCCCCGATTACCTCTGCGGGGCCCCGCGCATCACCGAGTAGCGGTCTCGGCCGGGCTCCCCGGAACCCGCGGCGACGGCTGCAACATCAGCGGCTCAATCCTAGACCCTCAGAAGGCCGGTGTCATGCACCTGGAGGAAGAAGCCCGGCGCCGAGGGCTCCTAGACTGAGGAGCAGCCGGGGGAGAGGGGCCGGGGAAGGGACAGGAGCAGGGGAGAGGAAAAGGGGGAGGGGAGGGGGCGGGACGCGCCGGGGAAGGCCACGGGTTTACGGGCGCGCTCGTGGCGTTCCCATGGAAACGTATCCTTCCGCCCCGGCACTAGCTCCCAGCCGCCTCAGTTCCCTCCGCGCCGCTTCTCGCCCGTTTCCGCCCAGCTCCTTTGTGCCGCGCAGAACGTCGAGACGACGCATGCGCAGAGCTCACCCCCCTCGTCGCCGGGTATATAAGCGCGAACCCAGGCACTTCCTCCTAGTGCCGCCGGGATCGTTGGCGAGAGGCTGCGCGTCGGGCTCCCGGGTTGCTCGTGTCCTGGACTCTGCGAGCTGAGCGAGCAGGGCTCGTGGGCCGGTCATCATGTCGCGCTACGGGCGGTACGGAGGAGGTGAGAGCCCCGGGCCCAGCGAGGGGGCGTTGCTGTGGGCGCAGCGAGTCCTGCTAGGCCGTGGACTTGCGCGGCGGTTGGAGACGGTTATTCCGCGTGCGTAATGGCGGCCCCGGCGCACGCCGTCCGAGCCGGAGGCCGCGGGGGCGGAGTGTCGCGGGGAGACGGGCTGGCGGGCGGAGGGCTGCGCCGGGCTCCTCGGACCTGCCGGGGCGTGCTCGTCCCCCGGCCCGAGCCGGGCCCCCCTCACGCCTCCCCTCCTGCCCTTCGAGCCGCGCGCCCGCCCGCCCGCCCCACACCCCCCGCGCCCGGCTGCCATTTTGCGCACATTGACGCCTGCGGTGGCGCATTTCCCTGGCGCTTTCCCGCCACCGGAGCTGACAGCCCTGCCCGCCGCTGCGAGCCCCGGGCGCGCCGGCTGCGGCGCGGGAGCCCGCGCGGGGCTGTGCGGCCCCGGCCCCGCCGCTGTGCGGAGGGGGACGGAGACGCGAGCCCACGTCTGGCGGCTGGTTTCTTTTCTCTTTTAGCTCTTTCGAGCGCGGTTTGTGGCTCTGGGGCGGGGAGCTGGAGTGTTGGGCGAGCCTGCGCCTGGGGCTGTTGCCGCGGACGACGAGAGCCGGCGCCGCCCTGCTCTCCCGGTCCGGCCCCGACCGGGGCCCGCCCGCCGCGGACGCCGCCGCCGCTGCTGCCGCCGCCGCCGCCGGCCCGCGCGCTGCTGGCGCGCCCGGGTTGCCGGGACCCGGGGGCGGGGCCGGGCCTGCCGCCCCACGCCGCGGAGGTCCTGCACGCGTCTCGGCATGCTGGGGAGGTTTTTCCCTCTTGTTCAAACGTTAAGACTCTTGTCATAAGCCTGACTTTTCAGAAGTGCACGGATTTGGTGCTTTTAAGACTGAACATGATCTTTGATGACGTGCCCAACGCGCTCTGCGTACTGTGGCGGGTCGTCTGCTTTACACGAGGGGTTGGTTCACACAGGCCAAGACTTTCATAACATGCATTCTTCTATTTGCGTTTTCAAACAGAAACCAAGGTGTATGTTGGTAACCTGGGAACTGGTGCTGGCAAAGGAGAGTTAGAAAGGGCTTTCAGTTATTATGGTCCTCTAAGAACTGTGTGGATTGCGAGAAATCCTCCAGGATTTGCCTTTGTGGAATTTGAAGATCCTAGAGATGCAGAAGATGCAGTGCGAGGCCTGGATGGGAAGTAAGTAATGTTGGTTATGAAGCTTAATGCTCATTAGAATATTTCCGTGGGCTGGGTAGCGAGATGTGAGATTTGAATTTTCTGGGGGAGACTATAACCAGCTATCCATAATTTTTATTTAAGGCATGAAGCGGGGAGAGAAGTTGGAGTGGGAAAGGGCTTCTGTGTTAAGATGTAACGATAACTTAGGAGGCTTTTAAACATAGCTGAAGATTGTGAGCAAGAGAATGTTTGGAAAGTTCTGAATCTAGACGTCTCATGTGTTTTTAGCATTAGAATTTTTTTTTTTCCTTTTATAGGGTGATTTGTGGTTCCCGAGTGAGGGTTGAGCTATCAACAGGCATGCCACGGAGATCTCGATTTGATAGACCACCTGCCCGACGTCCCTTTGATCCCAATGATAGATGCTATGAATGTGGAGAAAAGGGACATTATGCTTATGATTGTCACCGCTATAGCCGCCGAAGAAGAAGCAGGTATTTATTTTGATAAGGGAATGGTTGGTATACTAGTTAATCGAGTAATTCTTTTATTGGCAAGGCAGAAACTAATTTTTTTTTCTATAAACTTGAATGTTAATTGTACAGGTGTATTTTACAATTTTTGTGTAATTAAACAATTGTTAATATATTAATAATCAACCTGGTCAAAACCTTTCAGGTTTCTTCGTTTGAGTCAGTCGCCTTGATTCAGAATGTCACGAGCCTTATGATATCATGCTGAGGCGCCTTGCAAATCCGACAATTAAGATCCTCCTAGACCTTGAGGTGATCAGCATAAGAGGCCAGATCCCCTCGAGTCATCTACACCTAGCTTCACCTTATTCTTTAAAGGGCAGAAAATTTGAGACGGTGATCGCCGTAACAGTAAATTTGGCTTACAATTGGGGCCCCCTCCGGTTTAGAAAGAGGAACACCAGATTGACCACATTCCCAACTAGAAAAATCTTCTTGCGTCAATCAAGCCTCACCTGGCTCATTTGGCTGTCAGTTTGATCGTCGTTAGATTGAAGAAAACATCTAGATGCAGCGATCGGCTATAGATACTTCTAGATCGTCTAGATCTGCTAGACCTACTAGACCATGGGCCAAAGAGGGTCGACCTGCAAACTTGCAAGGTTTATTTTAAATACACCTTACAGTGTTTTATATTATGTAATTCTAAGATGTAATTCAGCTTTTAACAAATCTTTTTTTAGGTAGTAAAAAAAAAAAAAAAAAGCATCTAATAGGCCCAGAGTTTATTTCCAAATGACACACTAAATTTAAATAGTTTTGAGATTTGATTTCAGCAGAGGCACACAAACTGCGAAAACGAGTTACCATCTAATATACTGTTTTTTTCTAACTTGAAAAATAGGTCACGGTCTAGATCACATTCAAGATCCAGAGGTAGGCGGTACTCTCGCTCACGCAGTAGGAGCAGGGGACGCAGGTGAGAAATCTTGTTTAATTCAAGGTTTAATAAATGGTAGAGAACTTTAATTGGAGATGGACTTAAACTTTGATTTAATTTTTAGGTCAAGGTCTGCATCTCTTCGAAGATCAAGATCTGTGTCTCTTCGCAGATCGAGATCAGCTTCACTTAGACGATCTAGGTCTGGCTCTATAAAAGGATCAAGGTATTTCCAGTACGTAACACACTTATCTCCCTGCTTGCATTTGGATTGTCATGTCTTAATGACAATAGAGTCTTGGGATGTAATTGAAGCGGAATGCTTCAGAAAATATCATATTTGAAATACGAAAGTTGAGTTTACACATAACCTGGAAATAGCTATTATCCAGGTTTTTCTTTCAGATGAAACCCAACTAAAGAGTTTAAGGATTGTTAGAGAGGCACTGGTAGAGAGGGATCCAAACCACACGTCCTCAAATTATGCTAGTGAACTCTCTGGGTAGGTAACTGCTGAAAAGTTCTGGAATCTGTATATACTTATATAGATAGGTAAATGATGTCTAAAGCTAAAAAAAAAATTTTTTTTTTTTTTTGCCTGACCCCTGATAAGAAGACTTACTAGGTTCCTGAAGCGTTTTAGAAGCAAATCAGAAGGTGGTTTTCTCTTTGGAATGAATGGAGGTCGATTAGAAACCATGGAAAATTGTAGGAGAGTAGTATTGTATACAGGGGTGAATATGACCTTTGTTTAACCAGATTTTCACACTGAAACTTAGAGGTAAAAATTGAAAGTAGAACCCCAGCATTTTTACTCTATAAATAGAAAGCCTTCAAAGACAGTCCAAAATGATGATACTGTAGAAAAGAAATTGACAGTTCTACAGGAGATGAGCTGTAAGGAAATATCACTGGGAGTTAGTGCTGTCAGTGATAGCTATAGACCTTTATATGCAGGGATTCCAAACTTGGGATTGAGAAAGCTCTGGATCCTCTCCCGATATGCACATCTGATTATAGGACTCCAGGGTGTGTATGTCAGAGCCTGATTTTGTTTGTGTGACAAATTGGTGGTTCTGAATCATAACTTATTTGATGGGATACAAGGGAAAAAAACTTTACCCGTGGTGACTCTTTTCACTGAGTTTGATCACCTCAATTTGTATTGGTACGGTTGATTTGATTTAAGATTTATTGGACTTCCACATGAAAATTTTTATTTCTCTTGATTACTCTGCACTGTTTGGGTATAATGCTTCTACATAGGAACTGTGACAACCCCAGGTTATTGAGTGTAAAAGAAACAATTGAAACAGTGGTTTTTAATTTACTTTGATACCAGTTTGTTGAAAGTATTATCATTTGTTCACTCTTAGAACACAAGAATTTTGTATCATGCTCAACCTTGGCCCCTCTATTCCTAACTTACCTGTTAAGGTGCTTTTGGTGGGTGTTTCAGGGAATTAACTTTTAGGGAATAATTGGTGTAATTATTTTTTTTTCTTTTTATTAGATCACGGTCAAGATCCAGATCAAGATCCAGGTCTCTTTCACGACCAAGAAGCAGGTAGGGT